CATGCGTACGGTCCGCTCTATCGCCCCCACGGGGCTGCGTGGCCTGCGCCTGGTCCGCACCCCGCGCCCGCCGACCCCGCCAGCCTCAGCCCTGGCCCTCCGCCCGCTGGTGGTCGGCCTCAACGCCTTTGACGCACGCAGGCTCGACGGGTACGCCGGCAATCTGCTCGCCGTTGCTCGATCAGCACGCTCGCTTTCTGCTCCGGGCCTTGCCTCCGGTGATGCCTCCGCTTCCGCCCATGCCCATGTGCCCGGCCGCGAGGGCGTGGCGCTCGCGGCTCCCTCGCCGTCATCGTTGTCATCGCCTGCCGCCGCCCCGGCGCAGCGCCTCGCCTTTGCTCTGCCGGTCGCCTGGCCCGGTGCGCTTGCCGAGGACATTGTTGTGCCGGTAGCGTGCGCCGCGCCGGTTCCGTCGTCGGTCGATACCCTCACCGCCGCCGCGCTGCCGTACGCGGGGCTCACTGCGCTCGCTGCGGTCGACGAGGTCACGCGAGTCGGCGCCGGCGACGCCGTCGTTGTTGCTGGCGCATCCGGCCCGGTCGGCGTCCTCGCCGTCCAGCTCGCGCAGCTGCGCGGCTCAGATTCGGTGGTCGCCGTCGCCTCGCGCGCCTCACTCGACGCGGTCGCGCCGCTGCTCGGCGACGTCACCCTCCTCGCCTACGACGAGCCGTCCGATGCGGCCGCCATCGACGACGCCATTGCTGCCTCGCACGTCACTATCAACGCCGCCGCCGCCGATGAGGACCGCTACTTGGCCGCCATGGGCCGTGGCTCGTCGGCGCAGCTCCCGCCGCGGGCCTCGGGCCGCGCCCGCGCCTACGCCACCCTCAACGGCCCGCTGCCGCGTCTGACCGACGAGGGCGGGGTGGCGATTGGCGGTGCGCTCGCTGCCTTTGATCTTGCAGCCTCCAAGCTCGCCGCCCGCGCCGCAGGCTTTGACTACGACTGGGTACTGTTCCACCCATCGGGGCCCGGACTGGCGAGCCTGCTCGACAGCGTCGCCACCGGACAGCTCACCCCGCTCCCGCACACCACGGACTCCCTCTTTACATTTGGCCCCTTTGAGAGCATACCCGACGCGTCGCCGACTGAAAGCCCACCATCAGCCTCGTCCGCTGAGCGCGCCGCCCTTGACGCCGTCGTCGCCGCCTTCCGCACGCTCGACGCCTCGACCGGCTCCGGCCCCGGCAAGACCCTCATCACCTTTGAGCGGGAGCGTGCCTGACGCAGCGCTTCTCACTTGCCGCCGGCGTTGAGCAGAAACTCGGCCTCCTTCTTGAGGTGCCGCGCCGTGTGCACTGTCGTCGTCATCAGCTGGCCACACGGCAGCTGGTACATCAGAAGCGTCAGGACCTCATCCGGCCGGGCAAGCAGCTCCGCCGGCGTCTCGGTCAGCTTGTCGCTCTTAAAGTGCTCGGCGAGGATGAGCGAAAAGGTGCGGAGGAACGTCGTTGCCGCACGCATGTTCTCGTCGGCAAAGACCACCAGCGAGAACGCCACCTTGTTGACTCGCCGCCACACCACCACGGCGTCCGCCGGCACCAGCCTCCCGTCGCCGCCGAGCCGAAAGCCGCCCGACGAGACGCCGACCAGCTTCAACGGGCCCGTCGCGCCCATGACCGCGTCGACGTCACCCTCGCTCACCGCGCCCAGTGCGCCCAGCTGGCCTGCCCCGCGTGCTACCACGTCGATCACTCGCCGATCCAGCCCCTGACCTCCACTTGCCCCTCCCGCGCCGCTCCCGCCTCCACCGTCGCCGTCGTCGCCGCCGCCGCCGCCACCGCTCCCGCCCACGGCGCTCCCACCCGCGTTGCCCCCGCCATCGCCAGCTCCGCTCGGGCCGCCGCCATCGCCTACGCCCGCACCGCCCGCGCCGCCTGCGCCGCTCGCAGCACCATCGCCCAGCTCAGCGCCGGCGTCAAAGGCAGCGCAGGCGAGGTCGAAGCGGACGGCGCCTGTGACTCGGGCCGTGAGGTAGCGAAGGCGCTCGGGCGCGTGCTCGTTGTTGCCCTCGGGCGTGTAGAACTGCCAGGCCACAGGCATACCACTCTCCACGTCGTGCATGGCAAAGCCGTACACCACCATGTCTTCCGTCTCTCCGCTGCCCGCCCGCTGCCTCTGCCGCCTTGTTCGGCCTCTACTGCGAGTCGAGTGCCGCCGGGTGACGGCCGGCCGGCCAACTGGCGACACGGCACGTCGGCGACCGCAGGCGCGCGTCTCGCTCAAACGCTACGCTGCCTTTCTCTCTTTAACCGAACAAGCCTCTCTACCAGGCGCGTTCTGGTGTGGGGTGTGGGTGCGGCCGAGGCGGAGTGCTTTCGCGCGGTCGCGACGGCGAGTCGGCGTCGCCGAGCATGCCGGCATCGGCGGCAAGCGCGTGGACAACTTCGAGCTGGGGACGGGTCCATCCGAGCTCGTGCAGCCGGCGCACCATGAGTGCCACTGACTCGGAGCCGTCACCGACCAGCCCGTCGGCCAGTGTGTCCTGGTACCGCGCGTACGAGAGCACAAGCCGCTTCTCGTCGTCGGTGCTCACGCCGTGACCGTGCCGGTCGCCGGTGCGGACCCGCTGGACGGGGCTCGGCGAGCGCGATGCGTTGAGCAGTGCCGTCGCCCGCTGGAGCTGCTCCTCGCGCAGCGCAACTTCGCGGCGCAACTCCCGCGCCTCCCGCGCCTCTGCTTGCACATGTGCCAGCTCGGCCTGCGCGCTGTCCAGCGCAGCCTCGGCCGCCTGACGCGCCTCGGCCTCAGCGCGAAGCTGCTCGCTCATCCGAGCGCTCGACGCCAGCTGGCCCGACCCGACGACAACCTCCAGCTCGTCGATCCGCGCCTGAAGGCTCGTCATCTTGCGCGCCGACTCGGCGCATGCGCTCGCCAGCCGGTCACGCTCGTGGCTCAGCGCCGAGACCGAGGACTCAAGATGGGCCTCCCTCGCTGTTGCGGCCGCCTCGCCGTCGCTCACCCTCTTCGAGAGGCGGACGACCTTTGACCGCGCCTCGCCGAGCTGCTGCAGCCGGCTCGCCAGCGCCTTCTTGGTCTGGATGAGCTCGGCCGCCAGCGCCTCTTCACGGGCGGACGGGCATGTCGCCGACGCCCGCTCTTCTGCCAGCTTGGCATCCAGCTCCGCCGCCCGCTGCCGCAGTGCGGTCCGCTCATGGTCGACGTCCCGCAGCGCGCTCTCCATCTCGCGCGACTTGGCCACAGTGCCCACCAGCCGCTCACGGAGCTGATCCATGAGCTGCGATGCCGTCTCGAGCTCGGCCACCTTGTCGGCCACCTCGTCGTTGCGGACCGAGAGCAGCCGCTCGGCCTCGGCCTTGCTGGCTTCGGCGGCCTCGGCAGCATCGCTGAGCGCAATGAGCTCCTTGTGCATCATCGCCACCTGCTCCCGCAGCTCGACCACGGTCTTGCCAACAGTGACCACCTCGGCCTCGGCCTTGGTCCGCTCTGCACGCAGCGCATCGGCCTCGCGCGCCAGCTCAAAGACCTCAGTCCGAAGCGCGGCCACCGTCGCTGCCGCTGTCGCCTCGCCTTCTTCCCGCCCGTTGCTCTCGGCGGTCATCAGCATCGACTGCGAGAGGAGGAGCTCATCGCGGATTGCGGCAACAGCGGCCTCGCCCTCGGCCACTGCGGTCGCCACCGCTGCGGCTTGCATCTCGCTCGCCGCCGCCTGCGCCGCCGCCATCTCCACCATGTGGTCGACGAGCGCCGCGGCCGCTGCGGCCTTGCCCGACTCACGCTCGGCAGCGGCGGCAGCCTCGGCGGCGGCGGCCCGCTGCTCGGCGGCCTGTTGCGCCGCTGCCAACGCCGCAACGTGCTCTTCAGACTCGAGCGCGTGCTGCTCGCGAAGCTCGGCGAGTTCCTTGTCCAGCGCCTTGACCTCCTTCTTCTTGGCCTTGAGCTTGGTCTTGTACTCGCTGGCTTTGGCCGCTTTGGCCTCAACCTCAGCCTCGACCTCGAGCACTTGGGTCTCCAGCTCAATAACCTTGACTGCGGCCTCGCGGAGCGCAGGCAACTCGGCAGCAAGATCCTCCAGCTCCGCAATGCGAACCCGGGCCGCGCCCAGCTCCATCTCGGCCTCGTTGGCGGCAGTGGTGCGAGCGGCTTGCTCGCGTGACACCGCCTCCTCGGCAGTCTCGGCACGGGTGCGGAGCGCGACGAGCTCTTCGCTCAACGTGGCTGCAGCCGAGCGTTCGGCCTGAAGCTCTCTCACCACCAGTGCGTGCTCGTTCTCCAGCGCCTCGTTTTGCTCCTGGAGTAGCGAGTACGACGCCGCCAGCTGCGACGAGGTCGACGAGTTTTCTAGCGCCACGCACCGTTGGGTCTCGGCCGCCAGCGCCACCGATGTCTCTTCGAGTTCGGCCTCGAGCTCGGCGAGACGCGCTGCTAGAGCGACCAGCCGCTCTTGATCAACAGCCTGCGCTGCGTTCTGGCTCTCCAGATGCGCCATGTGCTGCGAGACAAGCAGGCGCGAGGCCTCTAGCTCGGCTTCCAGCCGCTCGTTGCGCTCTTCGAGCTGGGCAATGACCATCATCGCCCGTACAGCCTCCGAGTTGGCCGGAGACGGCGAGCCTGGCCTGCTGCTGGCACCATCGTTGACATCAACGAGCTCAACCAGCGAGGCGAGGGACGATCGGAGGCTGACCAGCTCGTTGTCGTGTGATGCTGCCAGCGCCCCGAGCGATGCACCCATTTGCGCCAGAGCCTCAGCGTGCAACGCAGCAAGCTCCTGAGCATCAGCGCTCAGCTCGCTGTGCGCCGCCCGGAGCGAAGCCACCGACGACCGGAGGACCGCCACATCGCGCGGCCCCAGGCCTCCGGCGTCGCCGCTCATCTCGACGAGCACAGCTTCGAGCTCCGTGTTCATGCGGCGGAGCGATGCCAGCTGGCTGTCGCGGACCGTGGCTTCCTGTGTCAGCCGCGCCGCTGCCTCGCGGGCCGCGTCAGCGTCGGCACGGCTGGCAGCTGCCTCGGCCTCTGCACTCGCCGCTGCGTCCTCGGCATTCAGCCTCGCCCGGTGTGCCGCCGAAAGCCGCTCATCAAGCGTTGCCGACAGGTGCTCCTCATCGGCAGCAGCAGCTTCAGCGGTGGCGGCGGCAACAGCAACTGCGCGGGCACGGCCATTGCGCTCGGCCTCGAGCTGGGCAACTAACTCAGCCTCGCGAGCGGCAGCAGCCTCATTGGCGGCGACAAGCTCGGCCTCGAGCTCACGCGCAACCCGCTTTGCCGCGCCCAGCTGTGACGCAAGCGCCAGCAACCGCTGGTCCCGCTCCTCGGCAGCAGAGTGCATGGCCTCGACCTTGGCCTCCAACTCCGCGGTGCGAGCGACAGCGACGGCTTGCGCGTCATCGCTATCGCCGCTCTGCGCGCCACTGGCCTCAAGTCGGCTTACAGCATGTTCGCGAGCCGTCCGCTCGACGACGAGGTCAGCTTGTAGCTGCTGGACTTGGGTCTTCAGCTCACGGATCTGGAGAGCGGCGGCAGCTTTGGGCGAGAGCAGCCCGTCCGAATCCGGCTCGTCGTACTCGTCATATCCCGAGTAGTCGTACTCGTCCGAGCCCGAGTCTGACGTCGGCGTTCCAGACTGCGAGCCCGATAGCAAGTCGGCGTGCGACGGCGGCGCATGAGTCGGCGGCGCCGGTGGCCGAGTCGCATCGTCTAGCGCGCGATCGAGGGCATGGGCCTTGACTCGCCACAGCGGCGCATGCTGGGTGATAAACAGATTGAGAGGGAGGCAGGTGAGTGCCAAGGCCTCCAGATCCCGGACTCCAAGCGAGTGGAGGATGCGGAAGAGGATCTCGCGGTCGAGCCCGAGCAGGTGCGGATAGAGATCGTCCTGCGCGTGCGGCGCCGACGGCACAGGCAGGCGAGCGTGCAGAAACGGCTCGAGATCTTCGATAGAGAGCTTACCGGACGGTGAATCCGAGTTTGAGCCGGACGCGGTGGCGTTGCCGTTGTTGGCGGGCGGCGGAGTGGCAGGCGGCGCGGAGACTTGCGGTTCGACTCTGCGGCGGGTCTTGACCCGCTTGCGCACCCTGGTCCGTACCAGCGTCTCTGGCACATGCGGCGAGGCGTCGCGGTGGACGACCTGCGGCGGCTCGAGCGAAAAGTAGAAGGTCTTGTAGCCCGGCGGCGGGAGCGGGCCGGGCGAGCCCGAGGCCGAGCTCCCGCTACGCTCTTTCCGCGGCCCGGCCTGGGCCTGGCGAGCCCGGGGCCTTTGACGCCGCCGCAGTGGCGGCGAGCCCGACGACGAGCCCGAGTCCATAAACACCACAGCCGACCGTTGGATCTGGTCTGACGGCAGACCGGCCGGACGCATGTCGACCAGTGCCCGCGACGTCAGTGTAGGGCCTGCAACCGTGCCCGACTCCTCCTGCTGCGCATGCGGCCGCGGTGGCGTTGGCGCTACCATCCCCCCCACCCCCCCATCAACAACCGCACGCTCTGTGAGTAGCTCGACCCAGTCCGTGGTAGCACACCATGGCCAGAGCCGCCCCTGGCCATGCCCGCAGGAGCAAACACAAACCGCCTCCCCCCCCCCCCCCCCCACCCGCCTCCACCCTCGCACCCAAGCTCACACCGTACACCGCAAAACCTTGATTGGCATGCTCATAACGGCACCCTCTGTTTCTCGACTGGCACGCCCCAAGTGCACAGTCCAGCAGCAAGGCCCAGTGAGCAGTGTGGTTGACTCTGTGGCACTCGCACTCCCCTCGGCCTGCCTTACTGCCACCCGTTGCCGTCGGTCGGTCGGTTGGAGGAGCGGCAACAGCCACTGCCACCCAGCAACCGCCGCCACCTGCTGCCACTGCCACTGCCACTGCCACTGCCACCCAGCCAACCACCACCCGCCACACGGCTACGGACCAGCTCGAGCTCAACCTCGACCTCGACCTCCTCCACCAGTCGACTTCCCCACCTCACTCTCACCCACATCCCCCTTTGCTCAAAAGGGCATGACCGACGCAGCTGCCACGGCACTGTCCGAGGAGCATGCGCGTATCGAGCAGTACCATGCCCGCTACCCGTCGTCGCTGTCGTTTGGTAACGTCGCCGACGATCGGTCCTTCCGGACGAGAGTGGCCGAGCTGGACCTGGAGCACCTCCTTGACGACTGCTACCAGCTCGAGCGTGCGCGTAGGGCAACATACGGTCGCGCCCTACCGGCTACCTCGACATCCTCCCCTCCTCCAAGCCCTTCTCCGGGTGATAGTACTCTTGGCCCCGTCCCTCTCGCCCTCCCTGTCCCCTACAAGGTACGCCTCCTCTGGCTTTGTCTCACCCGCGCCACACTCCGCGCCAAAATTCCTCTCCAACGCCCCCCCCCCCCAACCCCCCCCCAACCCCCCCCAACCCCAACCCCTGGAACCTTACTCACTCACTCTCTGGTCACCCATACTCACCCTTGCGTATGTTCATGGCGGAAATGACAGCTTCCACACCCGGAGCAGCTGCGATCGGAACGTGACCTGGAGATTGCACGGTTGGCAGTGCTGCCCGACATGTCGCCGCTGGTGGTCCAGGCTGATGTCTTGCGCAACGAGGTGGCGTGGGCTGGAAAGCGCCGATATGAGCTCGACGCAGACATGCCTGCCCTGATCGCAACTTTTCTCAAGCAGTACTCGCGCATGCTGGATGTCAAAGAGGCTCGGCATCACGCGCGATGGGCCAGCTTTGATGTACCGGCCGACAAGCTCTCCGAGCTGATGCCGGTCTTCCGGGCGCGGCTGGCGTCCATTGCCAACGAGCGCCAGGCTGTTCTCGACATGCTTGCGCGACTGGAGCCGCAGATTGCGGCCCGCGAGCGTGCGCTGGGGCTCGGTGCAACGCCGGCCACGTCGACGAGCACGTCTAGGAGCCCGTCACGGAGCACTGGCGGCGGCGACGAAGCCGCGACGCCGCGAACGCCGGACCGGCCGACGCCGTCGCTTGATGCGGCTGGATCCAGCAGCTCGCCGGCCAAGGCTGGGCTGGCCACGCCGGGCGGAGCCGGAGCAGAGGCTGGCAGCGCGAGCGCATCGGCTCGGGCGCCGCCGGTGGTGGTCGAAGAGGCGGAGCTGATGATGTACCTGCGGTGGCTCGTCCACCACAACCGCATTTCATCACGGATTCATCGCCTCCTCGCCAAGGCCACCTGGCTCACCCACTCGCAGCGGACGTCGATGTTCGAGGACGCGCACGAGCTGCTGCGGACCTCGCGGCTTGCGGCCGTCATCAAGCACACGTTTACCCTCTCAGAGACAGAGAGGCACGAGCATCTGATCAACGCCCATAGCATGCCGCTCATGATCACCCACCGGGCCCACATGGACGCACAGCTCGCCGAGCTGCGTGACTTCTGGGAGCTCGACGTCAACCTTGAGGGCATGGACGGTCACGAGTTCCTCTGGATCGCCAACAAGAAGTTCCAGACGGTATTTGTCCTCCAAGAGGTGGACGCCTACTTTCCAGCCTACGACGCGTCGGTCAAGTTTGCGCAGCTCCATCTCGAGGAAAAGTTCTCGTTTGACAAGCTCGCAGTTCCGCAGCGAGTCGCGGACTCGCTCACCATCGACGAGAACACCGTCCACGTCAAGACTGCCGACTGGCTCGACGATGTGCCGTTCACCCCCACGCCCGAGCCGACGCAGCTCCAGCAGGCCGCGCGCATCTTTGGCTCGGTCGACATCCATCCCGGGCTCCAGGCCGAAGCTGCCAACCTGGCCATGGGCGACGTCGAGGAGACGGCCAAGCGACTGCGCCGGTTGATGGAAGACCACACTCGGCGGGCGCTAGGGCTGTCCATTGTTGATGGGGGTGGCTCGTCGGGAGCCCGTGTCCGCTACGACAACACCGAGTACACCCTGCAGCCACCGACGCCGCCGCCACAGGGCGCGCTGGATCAAGACTCGCACAACTTCCTTGCTCCGTCCAAGCTCCTCTCGTTCTACTACCTCCGGCACATCCGCGCCCGCCAGCAGCGGCTGGAGCTCTTGCATCTTCTCAACTACCTCCGGGCCGTCGAGCGGCGGCTTACCGTCGACGCACGCGCCATGGCGAGCGAAAGGGTTGGGTCGGGATCCGGGGCTGACGACGCGGCAGGCATCGACTCGTTTGTCGTCCGCAACGCGTCCGGCGAGCACGTCTCGACGGGTGCGCTGCATGTGATGCCACCCAATCTCGACGAACCGCCGACCCGGGCACACACCGGGCGGTGGGCCACACATCTGCGTGTGCTCGACTCCTCGGGCGTGTACGTCATGTACGATGCCGCCTTAACCGACTTGTCCAATATCGAGGAGGAGTTGGTGGCGGTCGGCTCGCACTACATGTCGCGCGACGCGGACGCTCGGTTCGAGGCCCAAAGCGGGCGACGCGGCGGCGGGCGTGCAGGAGCCGGTAGCGGAACCAACGCCGAGCACGGCGGGAGCGGGCCGGAAGATGGCGCCGACAAGCTTGCGACTGTCGATGCCCTCGCAGTCCTCGGCGATCTATACGAGTCGGAGCTGTGGTTCACCCAGGCCAAGGCCGAGCTGGTCAATGCCTATCTCCACATCTACGAGTGCACGCCCGATCCCGAGGGCGTGGCCAAGGTGGCGCAAGTCATTGTGGACTTGCTCGCAAGTCGGCCGGACCTTGACATGGATGCCGAGTACTTTGCCGAGTCGTATGCAGCCAGCATTGTCAACGTCGAGCTTCACACCCGGCTCATCTCGGAGATGACCGACGCGCTCATCCGCGACGAGCGGCAGTATGTGGCGTTTGTGCACTCGGAGGCGAATGCAGTCGGCACGTCGATGCCGGGCTTCCCCGACGACGTCGCGGCGCGACATGCATACATCCACGTGACGCCTACGACGCCGACAGCGCTGCACCCGTTCGAGTTTGTGCCGCATCTCTACGAGCTGACCAGGCTGCCTGCACTCGCGGCACGCATCCACAGCGTGCTCACCGAGTTTTACACCCAGCTAGCGCCCGGCTCTGTCGGGTCTCGTCGCCGGTCTTCTCTGCTGCGCTCAAGCACGTCATTCTCAAGAAGCTTCTTGTCGAGTGGGCGCTGCTGGAAGAGGAGGAACGCGCACATGACCAGCTCGACGACGCGCTGTCCATGCTCGGCGGTACACTTTGCGACGATGCGGCGCGGCTGGAGACGATTGTGCGGTCTGTGTCGGCTGACGCGACAGCGCAGCAGGCCAAGGCCATGGAGTCGCTCAGCAGTGGAGAGGCGGATCGCAACAGGCTTGGCGGGCTGGGCTCGTCGACAAAGGACTTGCTGCGGCTGTCACGGGCGCGGCGGGCAGCTAACAAGTCGTCGATGTTCTCCGTGGCATCGCTGGTCCGGAATGCGATCGAGCTTGTCCGGCTGCGGGACGGACTGCTCGAGGCGCTGTACGAGACCGAGATTCTGGCGACGCTATACCGTAACCAGTCGCGGCTACTGGGGCATGACCTCGACAAGAACGTGATGAAGCAGTTTTCGTTCAAGACTGATGCGAGCGAGACGGTTGAGTCGGACGCGGTCGATCCGACCGAAGTTGTCTCGACAACGCTCGACTTGCAGATGCAGCTGGCTGTGGGTGAGTTTGACACTTCTTTTGCATCGTTTGACTTTAGCACGGTGGCCGGCATCAAGCGGCTCATTAACGAGGACGGCCTGGTTGCGCTCAGACGAGCGCTCCAAGTGCAGCTTGTGGAGAAGACGCTGCTGACGGCGGCAGTGCTGTCGAACCAGGCTGTTCTGGACCCGATCATTGGGGCGCACATGCTGCGGCGGCATGAGCTACTCGGTCGGCGGTTTGCGGTCAAGATGAAGGAGAAGCTGGCGGCAACGGAAGACGCAGTCTCGCTGCTGGACCTCTCTGTGGCCGGCGGAGCGGCGGCAGCAGCAGCGCGGGTGGCCGACGCCGAGAAGCGGGAGGACCACGAGCTGATCCGCACAAAGCATCAGGAGTTGGCGATGGTCTCGCAAGACTTTTTCTCAGTCCACAACGTCAAACTTCAGGCGCGCAAGACGGTGCTGGCGGCGTACCTCGAAAAATACGGCTACATTCTGCGGACGGCCAAGCCAGACGATGTGCCGGACAAGCTGCGGCAGCTCAAGTCGGAGCTCATAGCATCATACTCGTCGGATGTGGTGCTCGCGGTGTATCCTGTTCTGCTTCGGGCGCAAATCAAGGACGTGGTCAGCCGGGTCCGTGCCACGGTCTCGTCGTGGTCAGGCAACCGCGACTATGACGTGTTTACGCTCGGCACGCTCCAGGACGACATCAACGCAGCAGCAAAGGCGTCTGCTCGCGGAGTTCAGCTAATCGGGTGCGAGCAAACGCTGGCGTCGTTTGCCTCTAGCTCGATGGACTTTATGACCAACACCTTTGGCGCCGGCACCGAGGGCTCGCGCAACTTTGGCGGCTCGCTCTCGATCCGGGACGCGATTCCGTTCCTCTCGCCGTCGATGGTGGCGTGTGGCGTGGGGACGGACGGCACCTCGCAGGACGCACTCGTGGGGATGCCGACGTCGGGGACCGAGTCGGACCGCAAGTTTTTCACCGACGACGGCTCGGCGTTGGTCAACGTGTGGTACCTGCCGACGCCGCGTGGGGTGTCGTACCTACTCGCGCATGCGCCTCAGGCTGTCGAGGTGGTTGGCCTCACGCGAGCGCTGCGGATTTTCCATGCTATGGAGGGTTTGCTCGCGCTGCTCTCGTTTTACTCGCGGCTGGGCCTCTCGGACGCGCACTACAACGATGCCAGCCTCGGGCACTCGACGGCGCTGGAAGAGCTTCACTCGCTGCGGACGCAGATGACGCGGCTGTCGCAGCCGGACGACCCAGACGCGGTGTACCGGTTCTTCAAGGCGCAGCGGGCCAAGTGGTCGCTGCACTTTACGCTGGCGATGCGCCGAGCGCTTGCGTCGTTCCTGGAGCGGGCAAACATGGGACCGGTAGCGCGACTGCGGTGGTACTTGCCGCACGTGGAAGACGGGCAAGACGAGTGGATCCCAAACGTTGCGGCCAAGGATCTGGACCTGGTGTCAATTCTGGAGCCGAGCGACGCGTCCAGCGCGCCGCATGCGTCGGTGGTGGCAGCCGCGGCAGCTGCAGCCCTCGAGAACGGCGGGAGTGGGAGCGACTCGCAGGCGGCATCGCTTTCTGCGTTCTCGTGTCTGGAGTCGACGCTGGCGCTTGTGCCTGACGCAGTGGAGAGCATGGCGACGAGCCAACTTGTCTCTCTCGGTCCGCGGGCTGTGGTGCAGTCCGCGGTGCTCTCGGGTGTGTCGCTGGAGGCTGGCCTGGAGCCGATGGTGCCCGCGGCGTATCTCCGGTACGGACCGCTTGCAGGAACGGCGCACGGCTCGTCGCTGAGCAAGCTCGGGCATGTGCTCGTAGGCCTTCACGAGGCTGATCGGCGGTATGTGCTGAAGGAGTTTGACTTGCTGCAGCACGAGCTCGACGACGCGCTGGCCTCGTCGCACATCTACGTCACGTCGCAACCTGTGGAGGCTGTCTCGCTTCAACTTGTGTACTTGCGGAAGGGGACAGTAGTGACGAACCTCAAGTCTCAGTTCCTGCTTCTCGCGCTCGGACGCGGGCCGCTGGCGACGGCGGCCGAGTACGTTGATCTCAAGGCGGCGTACCACTCGATGATTGTGCCCAAAGTGCTGCTCCTTGCGCGTGCGGCCGGACACTGGCTCCCGCAGCATGACCTCGAGCTCGGGGCTGGCATTGGTGAGGCCTCGCCAAGCATGGAGGAGCTTGAGCAAGTTGTGCCTCGTAAGTTTCTTCTCGACGCGCAGCTGGACCTCCTTGTGGAGGCTCTGGAAGAAGTGCTCATCCGCAAGCAGGCTGCCGAGCTCCGTGGTGTGCAGGCGACTCTGCAGGCAACGCTCGACGGCTCGTCGCGGTTTGCAACGTCAGAGGCGAGTGCGGCGCTGCTCTCGCACGAAATTTCCGACTCGGACTACGGGACCAAGCTGGGGCTCGTGCGCGAGCTCATGGACACGTTTACGCTGCATGGCAGCCGTGTGGAGCCAAGTGGCAGCGGTGATGCGGCGAGCAGCGGGGCGCAGATCGAGGTGACCGAGTCGAGCATTGTCATTCCGACACGGGTGTTCCAGCAGGCGATGGATGAGTTTGCCGGCCGCGTGCACACATGGGGCGCGGAGCGGAACGAGCGGCAGGCTGTGGCAGAGGCACAGTTTGTGGAGCAGCTGCGGCACCGACTGTATGTGGCAGAGCAGGACAAGCGGCATCTGGAGCTGCTGCGAGCTGATGACGAGAAGAAGATCAAGACGCGGGTGCAGGTGGAGGTTGCGGACAAAGGCTATGAGCTCATCCGTCAGATCTCGCACATTTACCGCGAGCTTGCGCGGTTCAAGGAGGCGATGGAGGCGCAGGCTGTGCAAATTCGCGACGAGGTCAAGCAAGAGTACGATGACCTGGTGCACGACCTGTACACACAGTACATCTCAACGCGAGCCAACTTTGAAGAGTACCGCAACTTTCTGTATCAGGAGATCCAGAACGAGCTACACGTGGTGAAGCAAGACTCGATGAAGAAGCTGCTCAACATCTCGCAGCTCCCATCACAGGAGCGGAAGCGTGTGCAGCAGCTTGCGGACCTGGAGGAGGACATGCACAAGCTCAAGACCGTATCGACTAACCTGGAGAAGACGGTGCTGAAGCTCAAGACGATGCACACGCTCAAGGAGATTGCGCTGCGGCAGACGTTTGAGAAGAAGATCCGCGACGAGCAGCGCGAGCGGGTGAAGAAGACAAAGAAGCTGTTTGAGATCCGCGAGACGATGGAGCAGGACAAGGAGATGCTGACGCAGCTGTTGGCGACGACGCAGAACGCACTCTCGAACGCCGAGGCCGAGGTGGAGACGCTGCGTAAGAATCTCGAGCTGCAGCAGCGGAACAAGAAGTCGCTTGTGCACTGGAAGGTGACCAAGTCGCACTTGCTCGACAGCTTGCAGGCCAAGGTCGACCGGTACGAGCGGTGGGGCAACATCGATGTGGACAAGCTACTGTTGGAGCTTGACCGCAAGGACGGCGAGCTCGTGGAGCTGCGTGACAAGGTTGCACGTATGGAGCGTGTGGTGGAGCTTGACGGGCGGCGTCGTGCGCGTGCGTTGGGCAAGCTCAAGTCGCAGCTGGAGCTGGAGCGGTCGCTGAAGGAGCAGGCATTTGAAGAGGTCGAGGGCCTGCGTGCACTGGCGATGGACGCTAATGCACAGGCGTCACTCCCGCTGGAGCGGGCGGCGTGGAAGCAAAAGTACGACGCGCTGCTGGAAGACGTGCAGGCTGTGCGACACGAGAACGAGGTGCTGCGGTCGACGCTCAACCAGCTTGCGGCGCTTCCGGGAGGGCTGACGCGGCCTGTGGCATCACCGGGCTCGCCGTCGGGTGCCGCCGGCCCGTACGTATCGCCAGACCAGTTGCGGCCACTCTCTGCTGCGTCGGACTCTGGGCAAGGCAGCAGTCGCGTGCCGCGGCGGCCGCCGTCAACGGCCTCTGGCGGGTCTCGGGCAAGCTCGCGGCCGGCGTCGCGGACGTCGTCGGCGGGCTCTGTGCCGCTGCGGATGGCTGCGCCGCGGGGCAGTCAGCGGCGATGAGAGGTTTACCTCCTAAAGGCATGCGGGCACTCGGGCGCGTTGCGTCAGCCGCAAAGTAAACATTACATAACGCAGCCGTGTGTTTTGCTCAAGCTGCCGCTGTGGGTGTTTTTGAGCGAGAGTCAAAGCGGGAGGTCCGACTTGAGATGGACGAGTGTGAGCGAGTCAGAGGCGACCTCGCGCTCGAGCGAGTGGATTTGTCGGTCGAGGAGCGAGGCAGTGGCAAGGTCGCTAGCATGATGGGTTGGGTTGGCGAGGCGCTCGGGCGGGACGAGCTGGCCGTCGAGCTGGTAGGCGACGATGCGACGTCGACGTGCAGCACGCTTGCGACGGCGGCGCGGAGCAGCGCCCTCGCCCCGGGGACGGACAATGTCTTCGAGGCTGAGGATAGGCGGCGGCGGCGCGTCAGCGTCAGCGTCAGCATGTGGGCTTGCGAGTGTAGCGGCGGCAGCCGCTTCGGCGAACAGATCGGCGGCGTCCTGAGGCGTGAGGTGTGGGAGCTCGTTGCGGCGACGGGCGTCGAGATCGTCGATGGCGGCGAGGAGTTCGGGATGCCAGGGCCTGCTGCGGCAGGCTGTAGGGAGAAGCGGAATGCAGAGGGCTGCATGCTCGGCAACCTTGTTGAGCTCGCGGGCGGGGTTGATGGCCGGCATAGAGCCGAGCGGTCGAGTGCGGGCGAGCTGGGAGCCGAGCGGGGCGGCGTCGGCGTAGCAGGCGGTGGCGGCGAGAAAGGCGCGGGTGCGCTCGTGATGGGCGTTGAGGACGGGGTTGAGGAATGCAAGATCTGCTGAAGCGTCAAAAGGTGTAAATGCGCCGAGACGCATGACGGCCTTGGAGAGCGCCGCAAAGACGCGTGCGTGATGCGGTGAGGGCAGGTCGGGGGCGAGATGCCAGAGCGACGGCGAGAGGATTGCTGCGGCGAGGAAGCGGAGGATGACAAAGGCGACGACAGCAGTAGTTCCGATGGCCGGAGCAAGGTTGGGAAAGACCGCGTTGGCCGAGTCATGGAGACGGGCGAGGACAAAGGAGCAGACAGCCGGGAGCTTGCTCGCAGAGTCGAGGATGGCACCGAGGTAGCGCTTGAGGAGCTTGACGAGGCCGGCGCGGGCAGGCTGCGAGGACCAGATGCTGCCGGCCGAGTGCGGGGCGAGCCAGTCGGCAGCGGGGACGGCGTAGGTGGCAGCGACGGCGGACTCGAGGGTGGATTTGAGGTAGTGTGCGCCTGACAGCTGAAAGAGCATGTCGATAACTTTGGAGGCGAGCGAGTTGGAGCGGAAGATGACGGACGGGTCCGGGGTGTGCTTGGTGAGGTGGTTGGTGATGACGGCCGGGAGCCGGGAGTAGAGCTCACCTTGAGCGGCCCAGGCCTTGACGAGAGCGGTAGCGAGGTCATCGCGGTCGTGGGAGACGTCAGCAAGGCTTGTGAGCGGCTCGAGATCGTGGGCATGCACGGCAATCCAAAAGGCGGTGTAGTCGGGGAGCGGGAGGATGTACTCGCGGTGGTAGCGGAGTCGAAGGCGGAGGGCGCCGAGCGAGGTCGAAGATGGCATGCCGGTAAACGAAGTGGGACGAAAGGTGGCGAGCAATGAGTCCTGTGGCGAGTCGCGGACCTCAAACCAGCCGTCGAGGACAGCACCGTCGGCATCGAGGTGGGAGAGCGGGACGACGACGAGGCCGAGAAAGTCGTCATGGCCAACTCGGTCAAAGTCCCACAGCTGAAAGACAATGCGGGTAGAAGCCAGGTCGAGGCCCTCAAGATCAAGGGTGAACTCTTCGTCAAAGACTGGGTCGAGGGTCTGGCGGACGACCTTTGTGGAGAAGACGCGGTCCGGCGGCGGGATGTCGGGAGAGCTAGAGGCCGAGTCGACTGAGACTGAGCGAGAGCGGCGAGAAGCTACGCGAGTTGCGCGGTTGATGAGGGCGGCGGCCGGGGCGGCGATGGATGAAGTCAATGCGGAGAGCGAGAGCGAGGTTGGGGCGGCGTCAACGATGTCATGGTCGGCAGTGGCTGCGTCTGCAGCGCGGACGGTGATGTAGGGGTCGGAGAGGCCCGATCTGTCGGAGCCGACGAGGCCGACGGCAGCCATAATCAGGACGCGAACGAGCGTGGGCGAGATGCGGGCCATGCGCAGGTGCAGCTCGCCGGAGATGTGGGTCTGGAAGGGGGCGAGCGGGTGCCAGGCCTCGACGGCGGTGTTGTTGGCCAGGCCCGCCAGCGGAATCTTGACGACACCAAGCTGGCGGGCCGAGTTTGTGTCCGAAACGGTGACAAAGACGGCCGAGGTGTCTGGGCCGAGGGTCAGGCTCAGCTCCTCGCCGAAGAACGGGTCGCACGACGGCGCGGCGGTCCGGGTGGCCACCACGGCGCCGGTGCCGAGGCCGGAGACGGTCACCTTTGCCGCCGGCGGGCTACGAGAGGTACCAAACCGGGACGATGAGGAGAGCAGGTTCTTGCCCTCGGCCACCCGCATGTGCAGAGTCTCTATGACTGTGCATGCTGTGTCGGTCATGGTGGTGGTGGTGAGGGGAGGGGGGGGGGGAGGGGGGGAGGAGTGTTCGGTGTCAGGTTTGGTGGGAGAACGGTGCGTGGCGGGGTACGGTGAGGCGAAGCAGCTGTGGCAGATGGCAAGCGAAATGAAGGAGATGTGTAGAGGCGAGTATAGACTCGGGCTTGCAGTGTAGTCGGGAAGGCTACAGGAGTGAGCCGGTGTTGATGAGCATGAGCCGCGGGACGGAGAACTCATCGATGGCGTAGGTCGGGCCCTCAAAGCCCTCGCCCGAGTCCTTGACGCCGCCGTAGGGCATGGCGTCCATGCGGGTGGTGGGCACGTCGTTGATGACAACGCCACCCATGTCGAGCTTGTTAAAGGCGCGATGGGCGGCGGCGAGCGAGGGGGTGAAGATACCGGTCTGGAGTCCAAACGGCCCGGCGTTGATGGTGTCAAAGACGGCGTCAAGGTCGTCAAAGGTGTGCAGGATGACGACTGGGCCAAAAGCTTCCTCGGCGCAAAGCGGGGCGTCAAAGGCATCGGTGGTCGATGGCGGCGCGGCGATGAGCGTCGGCGAAACAACGTTGGAGCCTTGCTGTGGGCGGTCGCCACCGACGAGCGCCGAAAAGCCCGGGCGGGCGAGAGCGTCGGAAATCTTGTCAGCGAGGGCGGCGGCGGCAGCCGGTGAGATCATCGGGGCACAGACGACGCCCGGCTCGGCCGGATCGCCGCGCGGAAGGGCGGCGACGGCAGTGGTGAGCGCGTCGGTGGCAGCAGGTGCGATGGATGAGTGCAGGAACACGTTTTGGACCGAGATGCATGACTGCCCGGCCTGGCCAAAGCCGGCACGGGCAATGGCGGAGGTGGCGGCGGCGACGTCAGCGCCGGCATCGACGATGGCTGCAGCGTTGCCGCCAAGCTCAAGCACGACCTTGGTCCGGCCGGCGCCTGGCGCAGAGGCCTTGATGCCCCAGCCCACTTTGGGCGAGCCAGTGAACGAGATGCAGTCAATGCCCGGCGAGGAGGTAAAGAGCGGCGCGTCGTCGTCGTGAGCTGGGAGGATGGAGAAGGAGCCCGGAACGTCTGCAAGGCCAGCATCTGCCAGGATCTTGCCCAGCATGAGGGCGGTGGCCGGGGTCGCCGGCGACGGCTTGAGGATCACTGGGCAGCCGGCTGCAATGGCAGGCCCGATCTTGTGAACCGCGAGGTTGACGGGAAAGTTAAAGGGTGCGATGGCGGAGATGAGGCCGATAGGGAATGGCCGGCGGACGTACTCATAGCCGGCGCCCGAGGGATGGGCGCCGAGGCGGCCAGCCTCCTCCAGCGAGCGCGATGAGCCGACGGCATCGGCGCAGAGTCGAAAGGTAGCGACGGCGCGGTCGATCTCGCCGCGGGCGGCGTCAGCCGTCTTGCCGGCCTCAATCATGAGGGCCGAGGCAAAGTCATCGCGGGCGGCGGCGAGGGCGCCCGAGGCGGCGTTGAGCACGTCGCGGCGGGCGGCGAGCGGGAGTGAAGCCATGGCGGGCTTGCCCTCGGTCACGCCGGCAGTCACTGCCGAGGCGATCTGGTCGGCCGACGCGGTTGGCACCTCAGCCACGGTCTCGAGACTGTGCTTGTCGACGAGAGCGAGCGGGGGAGCGGCGCCTGCGACGGCGCGGCCGGCCAGCCACAAGCCCGAGGCGAGGGCTGAGTTGAGGGCCGATGATGTGCGGGAGAGGGCCATGGTGGGAGTTGGGTGGGAGGCTGGCGGGGGGGGAGGGAGGGGGGGGGGGCACCTGGCGTGTGGACCTGCCGCACGGCTCCAGTGGCTCGGGTTCGGGTTCAAGTCATGGATGGAGGACAGAGTGACGGGAGTGTTATCGATGGGAGGCAAGAGTGTAGTGCACTACGCCTTGGGGGTGAAATGGGCAAAGTCAAAGTCAAAGACCTCAGGGATGCCGACGTGCTTGGCCATGGCGGAGAACTCGGGCGTCCACTTGAAGGCCGGGAGGCCGGAGGAGCGAGTGGGGCCGGAGATAAAGTGCATGGAGAGCGAGTCGAGGTCCTTGAGGTGGGCGACCTTGGAGTCGTAGCAGCCGCCAGGGTTGGGCGAGGCCGAGAGATCGCCGCGTGAGCAGATGGCCCACATGGAGTTGCCGTTGGAGAGCGGGTCGTGCTTGTAGTCGTTGTAGCGCATGATGGCCTTCATGGACTCGATGTCGGTGACGTCGGTCTGGTTGCGACGGAAGATGGTGGCTCGCGGCGCAAGCTCGTAAGTGTACGTCTCCGAGCCGGTCTTCTTGACCATGGCGCCGTAGCCTGACATCTCCCAGATGGTGGTGTGGAAGGGCACGTTGTACGAGCCGTAGTAGCCGTTGGCGAGGAGCTCAGTGAGGTCCGAGCCGAGCGAGAGGCCCGGGATCTGGTCCATGACCCAAAAGGTGTTCGGCTGGAGCGGCATGCCCGGGGTGAAGAGCTTGGTGTCGAGGATCATGTACTGGTTCGAGTACGTGCCGGCGTTGAGGTAGGCGTCGAGCTCGAACCACTGCTTGCCGGTGGTGGCGAGCGCGTTGGCGATGCGGACCGACTGCCACGAGAGCATCGAGGTCGAGTTGATGAGATCAAGCAGGTCGTTGTTGAAGATGGCGTTGGTGGTCTGGACCATGACCAGGCCCGACGACATGAGGTAGAAGTCGTCGAGCGACTCGAGGAAGCCGGCATACGACGAAAAGGTCATCTCGCGACCAACGTAGCCGGTCATCGAGAGCGGGAACGAGTAGAACTTGGCGATGCGGACTGTGACTGCGTACTCGAACCAAGCAGAGTGGCCGAAGAACACATCGGTGAGGTCGGGCGTGACCTTGAACAGGCCGGAGCAGTGCGAGGCGGCGTAGAAGAACGACTCGACCTCCTCGTTGGTCATGGCTGCAAAGTCAGGCCGATCGGCAGGGCTCTTGAGCGCGTTGGCCAGGTTGAGCAGGTCGCCGGTCGCTTGCAGGAAGAGCATGACGTTGGCGTCGAGCGCGGGGTTGACTGCCGAAGCGCCGGCGGTGAGCCCGTCGAGCTGGGCCATGAGCAGGCCAGCGTAGACCCAGTATGGCTCGTCGGCATGCGCCACAGCCTGGGCCTTGGTCCACGCCGCCTGATCGGCCAGAAAGGCCGTGACGTTGGCCGGCACCGGCGCGTCCTGGTAGTAGAAGTACTTGACGTTGGCGTATTCGTCGGCGATGCGCTCGGCCGTAAGGGCGCCCTCGAGCATGCCGGCCGCGTACATCTGCACCGCATCCGGGTAAGATGCGTTCGAATACACCTTGAGCGAGCCCCACCCCTGCGAGGCAATGGTGTCGTCCCACGAGCCATACGCCGCCCCGTTGGCGTCCGCCGCGCCAGCCTTAAAGGCACAAGCCCCGCCCGCGTCACAGTAGACGGTGCCGAGTCGGGCTGTCGACGCCGACGCCGCCACCGCGAGCGCCACAGAGAGCACGATTATCCGCAAGAGATGCATACTTGTTGAGGATATGTTGATGAGAGTGCAGTGTGGAGGTGCTTGTTGCAGTCTGCTTTGGTACCGTCGTCGTCGTCGTCGTCGTGTTCCCGTGGCCCTTACTCACATATGCGAGGGGGGGATGGATGGATGGATGGTGTGACAATTTTTTTTGGAGTAAGGGAGGGAGGGGGTGTGTGTGAAAACAATTGGTCCCTCACAGAGGGTGTGAGGTATCGGTAACCTTCCAGAGGGTGGGGGTACTCTGGCGCGTGAGATTGTGGGGACTGTAATAGTTCATGCTGCGGGGGTAGCATGGGGATTCAGGACAGGGTTTCTCCGTTTTAGCCCAACAATCGGTGGCTGCATTTCTACCTGGCGCCAGATGTATTTCCCAGAAAAGAACTATGTGTCATCCCTGTTGCTTCCATCGCCCCCCCCCCTGCCCCCTCTGCCCCCGCCCGCCCCACCGCGCCTGCACTCGACACGCAGCTGTCGACCCTCATCTGTGTAGTTTCGACTCGTTTTGTTCTGTGAGGCACATGGCGGCGGCGTCCAGCTCGCTTCCCACGTCCCCGCCCATGGAGAGGTTCCCTTACGGGCGGTACCACGTCCCTGCGTATGACAGTTGCCCGTTCTCGGCCCTCCCGCCGCCGCACCGACGCAAGCTGATCATGGTGGTCCGCAAGATGGCCAACTGCTCGGACAGGCCGCCATACGCCCCGGCTGCGGAGCGCAAGGCGTCATGCTCGAAAAGATTGCACAGAGAATGATCACTGGAGGCTACGTCGCCGTCGACGGCTACATCATCCGCGATCGATGGTTTGTCGTCGAGCCGGGCGCCTACGTCCATCTGCTCGGCGAGACGTCCCGCTTCGGCGTGCCGGACGATCCGCTGCCGCAAAAGGTGAGACGATCCGAGGTGGTGGCGGCTGATGAGAGCGTTGCTGATGAGGAGCCACTGGACGCTGAAGCCGGCGTTGACGACATCGCAGCATCAGCGTCGGTGGTGCAGCGCTCGCCGCAAGACACGCTCCCGCGCGCCGCGCTCCTCCGCCTCATCCAACGACGCGCGGATGTTGAGCGCAGCTGTCGGTTGCTAGTCGCCTCCACCGAGCAGCAGGTCCGCGAGTTTGTCGTCCTCGATGCCCGGCTCGAGTACGCGTCTCTGCTGCAGATCGACGAGGTGGTCGAGGTGCAGGCAGTGGCGGGGGCGGCGGGCAATCGGCGGCTGTCGTACTCGCCGATCGGCTCTTGCTGGAGACCTCATGGCACCGCGACGACGACGGGTTCATGGTGGTGCCATCACGCGAGGCCGTCCTCCTCCATGGCGCGGATCAGTCGTACCCGATCGCGAACGAGTGGTTCGCGGGCATGCGGTATGCGTGCGATGTGGCAGTCCGCAAGCACTTTCAGTTCTCGGCCTTTGACCGCGGCGCCCTGCGCGCCTTTCTCATCCCGATTCCAGCCGAGGCGGCGGTCCGATGCATCGTCGTCGCCGACAGTGCTCGGCTCACGCCGGAGCTCCTGCTGAGCGACAAGCACCTACCGTACTTTTTCGCCCATTGCTACCTGCTTCCGCCTGCCGGTGAGTGGCCGGTAACCAAGGCACGCGTTGTGCTCCCAACGCGTACGGCGGCACTGTATGAGGCGACGACGGGCGAAATGGTGTCGCCGGCCGAGGCGATGGGCACGAGCGTGCATCCCGCGTGGTCACCGGCGGCCGCGAGCCGTGGCCACGACGATCTCTCTGGCTTCCATGACGCATCCGCCGAGTCAGACCGCGCGGGGCCGTCGAGCGAGGCCGCACCGCCCGCACGCGCTACACCTCGGATTGTCAAGACCAAAGCTCGCTCAAAGACCTCGCTCGCAGAACGCCGCGGCGAGCGTCCCGCCATCAGTGTCGCCATACCGGAGACGCCAAGTCCGGCCGAGATGGTGGCGTCGAGCTTTGGCACACCACGCACGCCCGCAGGCCTCGTTCTCTATCCTCATCAGCGGCGGACGGTAAGATGGATGATGCAGCGCGAGGCCGAGGTTGTTGACCTCTCGCTCCCCCTTGTCCGCACCTACCAGGGGCTCTTCGTTGACGAGTACGGCCTCCAGCAGGAGCCGATGGAGCTTGCAACGACGGCTGTAGCGATACCACCGGGAGGCCTCGTGGCGCACCCTGTCGGCTCGGGCAAGACAGTGATGACGGCAGCGCTGATTGGGCGCAGCCGCGGGCGGGCGGCAGGCGCGACGCTTGTCCTCGTTCCGGACCACATTGTGGCGCAGTGGATCGCGGAGCTTGCGCGGTTTGTGCCGGATCTCATTGTCACCGCGCTCGACCCGAGCAATCCGACGTCGATGAATTTTAAGCGCGCCGATGTTGACGTCTGCATCGCACCTCACTCTGGCCTTGTGTCAGCCTCGAATGCGATGCGGTCGCGGCTGGCGAACGAGTCGTGGTTCCGCATCGTCATCGACGAAGCGCACGAGGTTGACAGCAGCGCGGTTGGCATTTTCATTTCGTCGCTCACGGTGCAGATCCGGTGGCTCCTCACTGCCACGCCGCAGCCGCTGCAGGCGCTGATGACAATGGTGCTTGGTGGAGCAGGCGAGTCACACGAGCGAATTCGTGCGCCGTTTCTGAGGACGTGCACCGTCCGCGACGCCGCCGCCGACTGCCTCCCGGTCCCGCCGCTCGAATACCACATGATGCCGGTAGTTCTCTCATGGCAGGAGACCAGTGTGCTCCACGCACAGGCGCTCGCCGGCAACCTACAGGCGACGGTGCGGCTGGCGTCGTACTTTGCGGAGCTCGACTCTGTGACCGGGGCTGTGAGCGGGTCCGCGGCGGTTGGCAACGTCAGCACGCCTGGCTCTGAGATCGCTGTCTTTGGCTCGCTCGACGAGTGGGTGGCGCGCTCGCGGACTGCAATTGCCGACGAGATTGCTCGGCTTGAGGCAAAGCTCGAGAGTCTCGAGCGGGAGATAGCTGAGGCCATGGCTGCGGTCCGCGCCGAGCGAGAGGCTGCGGTGGCGACCGCCGAAGCGGCACTCGCGCTCAAGAGCCAGGCCGAGATCGAAGCTGACATCGCGCGGGCACTTGCAGCGCTTCCGCACGGACCTGAGATTGTCGCGCATGTGGTTGGCTCTGAGAGATGCGGGCGTGTGTGCCTTCCGCGGGCGTGGGAGGCGAGTGGCGAGGCGGCCAAGGCTGTGCTGAGCGAGTTCAAGGCATGCTTGGCAGATGCGTTTCTGCAGCGAGTCACCTCGATCGCCGACGGGGACGGGCGCGAGCTTGAGTCGTGCCAGGCGGTAGCGGCGGCCGGGAAGGTCTACGTCTGCCTTGTGGACGATCCGCGGACGGACTGGACGCTGCGGGCAGAGCGGCGGCGAGCGCGGATGCTGGCGCAAGCGGGCGTGACACCGCGCGGCGCAGTGGTGGACACTGCGAGTGAGGGTGCCGGGAGCGAGGTTGCGGGCGTGGACGCCGAGCTGGTTGCGGAGCGCGACCAAGCCGAGGCAGGCATTGCGAGCAAATCGCAGCTGCTGCGGTTCATGGACTCTGTGAGCCAGCTCCTCGCGTCGGAGGAGACCGAGTGCAGCGTGTGCTTTGAGACGATGTACGGGTCGACGGTGACGATGCTGCCGTGCCTCCACCCGTTCTGCGCCACGTGCGTGATGGCGGTGTACGGCGACAAAGACACTGCCGAATGCCCGATGTGCCGGGCGCCAACGCCGCGGCGGACGCTCTGCACGTTTGAGTGTGTGCGGGGATCGTCCGAGGACGCCGCGGCGGAGGAGGCGGCAGCAGCGGCGCCGGCTCCGTTCCGCGGCTCCAAGGTTGCCGCTTTGACGGGTGCAGTGCAGAGCATTCTCGCGTCTGGGGGCGACGACAAGATTGTGGTGTTTGGCCAGTGGGCGTCGCTGCTGGAGCAGATTGCGTGTGCGTTGGACGAGGCCGGCGTTTTGGCGCACACGCTCGAGGGGACGATGGCGAAGCGCGGACGTGTGCTGGAGCAGTTCCGGGAGGGTGGCGAGGACTCGAGCCGTGTGCTGCTGCTCTCGCTAGAGTCGCATGCGTCCGGGATTAACCTGGACATGGCAAACCACGTGTTCATTGTCCACCCGTACGTGCCGGGGTGGGCGCAGTCTGGGTCTGTGGTGCCGCTGGGCGAGGCGCAGGCGTTCGAGCGGCAGGCTGTGGGCCGTGTGCACCGGTTTCCGCAGAGCAAGGTGACGCACGTGTACCGGCTGTACGCACGCGGAAGTGTGGAGGAGGAGATGTATCACGCGTGGGGCTGGGCGTGAGCTACGCTACGAGAGGTGGACCGGCGCGGCCCCGCTAGCCATGGCGTGGCAGTAGATGACCTGGGCGTGGAGCTTGAAAAAGTCGCCGGAAAAGTTGAAGAATTGGTGCATGCAGCCGTCGGTGGTGTAGACCTGGATGGCGTTCGGATCTGCGGTGGCCGGCGCGGGGCGAGGACCGGGACGGGCGAGCCGGCCATCTTGGAGGCGCGAGCAGCGACGATGGACGAGACGGTGGTGTAGGGGATGAGGACGGGAGAGCCCGCAACCTCAAAGCCAAAGTAGTTGAGGAAGAGGTGGAAGACAACCGAGACGGCATCAGTACCGTTGATGAGCTTGCACTTGGACTCGCCGAGGACGGGCTCAGACTGGTGGAGCTTAAAGGCGGTGTGGACCGGAGTCGGGGCGGCAAGGACCGGGAGCGTCCGCTGGCCGTTGTTGAGGGTGCGGTCCCAGATAAGGTGGAGCCAAGTGGCGATGGGCTCCATCTTTGTCGGGTCGAGGACGACGGTGTGGATGAGGCCGTCGTTGCAGTAGACCTGGAGCACGTTAGCGCGCGAGCCATGCGGGGTGTCGATGATGACCGGCTCTTCCTTCTTGTTCTTGTAGTTGGGGCAAGTACGTGCGATGATGTGGGTGATGGTGAGCATGTCGATCTTGACCTTGACCTCCTTGGAGTGGGTGATGGTGTAGACGCAGAGGAGCGAGGGCGTGATGTACATCTGGCCCGAGAGCGGACTGGCACCATTGAGGAGCACGCACTGGGCGTCGGCGAGCATGGGCTGGTCCGGCGCGAGCTCAAAAGCGGCGCGGAACTTTTTGGCGTCGTAGGTGACGCCCATGGCGACGCCCATCTGGGCCTTGGCCAGCGTTGCCGACTGCTTCATGTCGTTGAAGGTCGAGGTGATCGACTTCATGAACCCACGCTTCTTCTTCTTCTCCGGCGGCGGGGCGGCCGGCGCGGCTGGTGCCGACGGACTGACATCGGTCATCTTGTACGTGGCGGCGGTGGCGCCGGCGGCGCCGGCGGCGGCAGCGGCGGCACCAACGGCCGACGAAGCCGGCGGCGGGGCCGACGACGCGTCTGGAGCAGCAGGAGCGGTAACAGAGGCGGGCGGGCCGGTCGACGGTGAGGCGAGGAAGGTGATGGCGGACTCGCAGGCAAGGGCATCGGCCGAGACCAGCAGCATGATGAGGGCGTGGAGGTCCGAGACCGACCGGCCGGCGAGCTTGCGGGCGACCTGGTCCACCGCCGACTGCGACGGCGGCGCCCGACTGGACGACGGGGTCGACGGCGGCGCGTGGGCCGGCTTGGGCGCAGCCGAGGTGGGCGGGATGTACGGTGGCGGTGCGCCGTCGAATGACGGGGGCGGGGCGGACGACATGGGTGACGGACGAGTGGTGGTGGCGCGGGGGGGGAGGGAGGAAGGTGATCGGAACGGAGTGGCGGTGGTTGGCGGCGGCGGGCGGGCCATCGCGGTGATCGCTCATCGACGCCCATGCCTTGTGGTCCTTGATGGCGTAGTTTCTTCTACGAGCGCTATGTGTGGAGCGTATGTAAGTGAATGTGGGGGTTCGCCTGGTGTTCGCGTTACGGGAGGGGCGGTTCGGAGGGGGGGGGGAAGGAGGGGCGGATGGCCCGGCGACAATTTGATTTGCGATCGGTCCATTTTGGGAAGGGAGTTGGGACGGCAAAGCAGCAAAACGTGTCCCATGGTCCGTTTACTTTTGATCACGGCTGGCAGAGTCATGCGGGGGTAGCAGCGGCATCCGAACGGCTGCGATGCCGGTAGAGTTGGAGAAGTGTCCGGGGTGAGAGCAGAGAGAGTATGCCATCACTCCAATTGTGTGTGGGTGTGATCTGTGTTGAATATGGCCGGCACTCCTGCTTTTGCTGAGAAGAGCTCTTGCTGGCGATGTGCTGGCTTGCGGATGGAGGACCAGCCAGCGCTAGGGTGCCAGCACTAGCATGCGGTGGCTCGATCAAACACGTGAGTTACGCTGCGATGCGACGGATGGTGTGTCTCCACCCCACTCGAGCAGTCGGGCGCATGGGCTGCGCCGTGACATGGTAGAATCGTCAGTCGAGACTTGCCGGGTCATGAGGCACTGCGCGTGGGCAGGCAGACGGCCAGGGCGGTAGGACTCGACTTAAGAGTATGTCAGGAGTGGAGGAGCTCATTGCGCTGCAGAGCGCAGGGTGCGGGCGAACGACGGGGACGGCAGTGGTGGCTGCGGCGGAGGCGCACGTGAAGGAGGCCATGGCGGCACATGACGCGTCGCACGACTACGCGCACATCGCTCGGGTCCGCGAGGTGGCGCTGCGGCTGGCGGAGATGGAGGGCATCGAGGACGGCGACGAGCTGGAGGTCATCGAGCTGGCGGCGCTGCTCCACGATCTTCACGACTACAAGTACTCGGGCTCGCTGACGGCCGGAGCCGAGGCCGCGGCCGAGTTCCTGGCCGGAGCCGGGATGGAGGCCGAGCGGGCTGCGGCGGTGGTAGACATCATCAACTCTGTCGGGTTCAAGAACGAGGTCGGCGGGCGTGTCGAGGTCAAGTCGGTGGCCCACGGAGTGGTGCAGGATGCGGATCGGCTGGACGCCATCGGGGCGCTCGGCATCGCCCGCACCTTTTCCTACGGCGGCCGCAAAGGCCGCCCGTTCTACTCGATGGCTGCGGTTGACGCCGACGCCGACGCCGCGCTTCCAGCCAGTGGCCTCACCACTGAGGAGTATGTCCAGCGCGATGCGGCGACGCTGGCCCACTTTTACGAGAAGCTGCTGCGGCTGAAAGAGATGATGAAGACGGGGCCGGGCGCGAGCTTGCTGCCGGCCGGCACGCCTTTATGGAGGCCTTTCTCACCCAGTTCTACGCCGAGGCGCGCGGCGATGCGTGAGCGACGGGCGGGATAGCGAGGTAGTTGCGAAAATGCGGCTGGTTCACTTGTTCGGCTGCGGGGTGATGCGGAGGTAGGGGTAGACGGCGTTGTAGCCCTTGGGAAAGAGCGAGTCGGCCTCGTCGTTAGAGACCGAAGGCACGATAACCACATCGTCGCCATCCTTCCAGTCGACGGGCGTGCCAACCTTGTGGTACTCGGTCAGCTGCAGCGAGTCCAGGACTCGGAGGATCTCGTCGAACGAGCGCCCGGTGGCGGCCGGGTAGGTGAGGGTGAGGCGGAGCGACTTGTCGGGCCCGATGACAAAGACCGAGCGGACGGTGTGGGTCGAGTCTGCCGCGGGATGGATCATGTCATACAGCTCGGCGACCTTGCGGTCGGCATCGGCGAGGATCGGGTACGTCACCGAGGTCGACGAGAACTCCTCCACGTCCTTAACCCACTTGTGATGGGCCTCGACCGGATCCACCGAGAGCGCGATCACCTTTGTGTTCCGCTTCTCAAACTCGGGCAGCAGCTGCGCCACCCGCCCGAGCTCCGTGGTGCAGATCGGCGTGTCGTCTGGCGGCCGAGTGACGAGCGCGCGGCGATGGGTGATGATGGCGTCAGAGCGGGGTGAGTGAGCGTGCGCTGTCACATGTGGTTATGTGTGGGCTGAGTGTGGGCATGTGTGGGTGTGTGGCCCCTCCCCCCCCCCCCCCCCCCCTCCCCCTCCTCTCCCTTCCCTCACGATGGTCATGGTCATGGCCCACCGTCGTATGCACGTACCGGCTGGGTGTGAGAAGAGGATGCCCCACGAGTCGCCCAGGTACTCGTACAGGTCCACCACACCGTGGGTTGACTCCTGGCTAAAGTTGGGCACCTGGTCGCCCAGACGGAGGGCGGCAGCAGCAGCGGCGGAGGAGAACGGCGCAGCAGCAGCAGCAGCAGCAGCAGCAGCAGCAGCAGCAGTGGTGGTGGTAGTAGCACCACTTGCATTGATGCTGGCACTCATCATGCTCGTCAGCGCAGGCATGGTAGTCCCCACCATCCGGGTGGCAAGGCGGAACATGATGTGGTTGTTCGGTGGAAGGAGAGGGGGAGGAGGATGAGAAAAAAAACAAAGTCAGGTGGCGTACTGGCGTGGCATGGACTGGCAAGAGCCGAGGGGCATCATGTCGCATCCATGGCGGCATCGCTGCAGTCTGCCAGGTCTACTGCAGTCTTCCAGGTGCGATGCTGAAAGCCAGTTGTCCGGTTGGCAGGCGATTGCAGCGAGCGGAGGGGGGGGGGGGGGGGGGTAGAAGGACTCAAACACGACGTGCAGTGGGGCAAGAGTGACAGGAGCAAGGCGGGCCCTGGCTGATGCGTGGTCATAAGGCAGACGATGGGTCGGGAGCTGACTGCTTGCCGAGGACGACGGTCGAGGTGACGGCAGCCTTGGTTGTTGCAAAGTGTCGCTGCTGGGCGGCGATAGCAGCCATCCAGGCGTCGCGAGCGTCAGTGCGGAACAGGTGCTTTCCACCTGACGGCGAGATGAGGCGGAAGCCGCGCTTGGTGGCCTTGATGCTGGCGTCGGCCACCATCAGATAGTGCTGCGGCGTTTTGTTCTTGGGCGAGTCGTAGACCTCAAGCACACACTGCGAGAGGACGAACCAGAGCGGAACAAAGCCGGCCTTTGGGCGCGCCGATGACTTGAGCTCCATCGCGCCCATCATCCTCTGAGCATCAGCGGGGCGCGGCTGCCCCTGCGGCGTGCAACTCTTGTCGTCTCGCGCCTTGCGCCTCAGCGGGCGCAGCGGCTGCTTCCGCGGCTGCTTCCGCGGCTGCTTCTGCGGTGCAGCGGGATCCGACTTGATCGCTACTGGGGAGGAGGATTCCTGGGTCAGCTGAGGAGCAGCGGCCGGAGAAGGAGACGGCGATGGGGCAGGAGGCGGGGCAGGAGGCGGGGTGGGAGATGGCTCTGCGTCCGGGTCAGGCCAGGCATCGGGCAGATCGGCCGAGGTGGTGTCCGAGGCAGCTAGGTCCGAGACGGCGAGGGCAAAGGCGGAGCGCATAGTGAGCGGCAGCAGGGCGCGGATGCGTGAGTAGTTGAGGGCGAGCAGGGCGACTCCGTCGATGTGCTGGTGGGCAAGGAGGGCGGGCAGCGAGGGGGTGGACGGGAAAGCCATGTGTGCCCACCGCGCCACCTCGTCGACGCTCCACTCGGCAGGCCTCCTCCCTGTCGCCATCCTCTGTCCGGTTGGGTGTGTTGATGTTGCGCGGGAGGAGTGTCCTACTGTCGTCCCAGCACGCCCACCCACCGGCCGCCCATGTCCCGCCCGGCACCAGCCGCCCATCGCCCGCCCATCGCCCATTGCCCGCCCGGCACCAGCCGCCCATCGCCCGCCCATCGCCCATTGCCCGCCCGGCACCAGCCACCCATCGCCCATTGCCCGCCCGGCACCAGCCACCCATCGCCCATTGCCCGCCCGCCACCAGCCGCCCATCGCCCGCCGCCCATCGCCCATTGCCCGCCCATTGTCCGCCCGGCACCAGCCGCCCATCGCCCGCCCATCGCCCATTGCCCGCCCGCCACCAGCCACCCATCGCCCATGTCCCGCCCGGCACCAGCCGCCCATCACCCGCCCATCGCCCATTGCCCGCCCATTGCCCGCCCGGCACCAGCCACCCATCGCCCATTGCCCGCCCAGCACCAGCCACCCATCGCCCATTGCCCGCCCGGCACCAGCCGCCCATCGCCCGCCGCCCATCGCCCATTGCCCGCCCGCCACCAGCCGCTCGCCACCGGCCGCTCGCCACGGGCCGATCCAGGCGGCAGCCGAGCCGGCCACCCAGCTGTGAGGCCGGCCAGCGTACCGCGGGGCCATCGCACGGTACCTCACCCCACCCCACCCCACCCCCGAGAGTGAAGACAAGGACCTGGAGGTATGCGTGTGCGTGTGCGTGTACAGGTCGGCGGGCGGCGCGAGGTGGTGGACAAGGTGCGGCTGGACGTGGAGGACTCGGTGGCCGACAACAAGGTCGGCATGCTGGGCAAGCGCCTCGGCCTGCCGCTCGACTCGGACTGGGCGGCCCTGGTGCTGTACAGGCTCAATGCGGCGGGTACACACGTCGACCGCATCGTGCCGGATGACGACAACCTGGCCGCCTGGCCCGAAGCTGCCGCTGCTGCTCCCGCTGCCGCTGCTGATTCCGATGCCGATGCCGATGCTGATGCCGATGCTGATGCCGCACGACGCCAGGCGGGCACTGTATGGCTGCTGGTCTCGGACACGGTGGGGCTGGAAGCTGGACATCGGGTGGCGTATCCGCTCGAGGACGCTGGCGGAAAAGCGGCGCACCGGCGCCGGAGCAGTCACTGCAGGCGACGTCGGCGTTCAATGCGGTGGCCGACGACGACGATGCCGAGTTTCTCTCGGCCCTCGGGGCACCAGTCGAAGCGGAAGACGGCCTGGTGTACGACAATGTGGCGAAGGAGTGGTCGTCGCCGGCAACAGGTACCGCGGTGGCTGCGCCCAAGGACGCACCGGCCGACGAGCTCAAGGCCGCGCTTGCCGAGGCGCCGACCGACGACTTTGATGCTCTCTCTGAGACCGAGGGCTCGCTCTCGGGCTCGCCAGCGGCGGGCAGCGACTCGGCCTCGTCGGTGGCGTTTTCCCACTCGATATCGGTCGCCAGTGTGAGTTCCAGCGACAGCAATGACAGTGCCAGCTCGAGCACCAGCACCAGCACCAGCACCAGCTCGGTGCCTGCCCCCAGTGATCCGTCGTCAGCTTCGGACGCAGGGTCTGCCACTGCGGCGTCTGCAGAGGTGCAAGACAGCGGCTCTGGAGCAGTTGCGGTCGAAGCCGCCTCGACCGCATCGTCTGCGGCCGGGCCGGGCTTGGGCCCATTGCCGTCTGCTCAGCCCTCGCCTGCGTCGTCTGCGCAGCCATCACCCACCTCCTCCGCCCAACCATCACCCACGCCCTCCGCCCAACCATCTTTCACCTCCTCCGCCCAACCATCACCCACATCCTCCGCCCAACCATCACCCACGCCCTCCGCCCAACCATCACCCACCTCCTCCGCCCAACCATCACCCACCTCCTCCGCCCAACCATCACCCACCTCCTCCGCCCAACCATCACCCACCTCCTCCGCCCAACCATCACCCACCTCCTCCGCCCAACCATCACCCACGCCCTCCGCCCAACCATCACCCACATCCTCCGCCCAACCATCACCCACGCCCTCCGCCCAACCATCACCCACCTCCTCCGCCCAACCATCACCCACGCCCTCCGCCCAACCATCACCCACCTCCTCCGCCCAACCATCACCCACGCCCTCCGCTCAACCATCACCCACGCCCTCCGCCCAACCATCACCCACGCCCTCCGCCCACTCCTCACCCAGATCCTCGCCACGACCTAGTCTCGACGACGACTTTGAATCCGAGTCGACATCATCAGCATCGGGCACCTCTGACTGCAGCGAGGATGTCATGTCTGCCGACGCCGACGAGCCGTCGTCGGCCGACGAAACCCCGGCGGCTTCATCTCTCGAAGCTATTGCTTTGGAGCTGGAGCACGAGCGGGCGGCGCGCCGCAAGCTAGAGGCAGAAGTCGAGCGCCTGCGGCAGGTCGAGCTCCAGGTCAAGTCGCTCGAGTCCGAGCTCTCGCGCTCGCGCAATGCCGAGTCGGCGTCGGTGGCATCATCGCGGGCCCGGGCCCGGGCTCACGCCCGCTCGCGGACGCTAGAGAAGAACCCTTTGCCGCCACCAGCCAAGTCGCGGCCTAAGACCGCCGAGCCCATTGCGCAGCGACGCGCCCGCCGCGCGCCGGCCAAGTCGCGGGCGCAGTCGCCGCAGACCCGCAAGCCACGGGCAGCAGCGACCGCGCGCACTCCGCCGCGTCCGGCATCGGCGGCCGCCTCGTCGCGGCGCTCGCGCTGCATTCCACCGCCGATCTCGCCGCAGGCCGACGCTGCGTACCAGCAGTGGCTCTCTCGCAAGCGAGCGGCAGCGCGGCGGAAACGCGAAGCCGCAGCCGCCGACGCGGCTGCTGCCGCCGCCGCCCGCGACGAGCGAGAAAAAGAAGCTCAAGGCCATTCTCACCCGACGCGGCGCCTTTGTCCCACCATGGATGCTCCGCGACATCATGGACGAGCTCCGGGACCTGGGCATCGGTGTCAACGTCGACACTCTCTACGAGCCGCACCGTTGGTGGCGGCTTGCCTGAGCTGGGCCGGCTCCGCCTGTTTGGGGCCGCTGCGAAGAAATTCCCCAAACGGGCGCAAACGGGTGCGCACTGGCGGCGGCAAGAAAACCCGCACGTCTCCGCTCACCACACTCGCAGAGTGCACAGCCCGCATACTGTCATTGAACTCTTCACCTCGCCTATTCCCACACATCAGGACCTAGCTATGCCTGCCGAAACCACATCGTTTCTTCCGCTGCCCACACCCGCCACGCCGGGCGACGACGCCAAGCTCCGCGCCATCTTCGACTCGTTTTCCGGCGGCAGTGCGCGGCTCTCGCGCGATGGCATGCTCGAGGTCATCTGCGCCACCCAGGACGTGAGCCGCACTGTCGCGGCGTCCCAGGTTGACCTCTCGTTGCAGGCCATGGGCGAGTACGCCGTGCTAGGCGACTACATCAACGCTGCAGGCGTCACCTTTGAGGGCTTCAAGCTCGCCTACACTCAGTTTGCCGAGACCTCGGTCGACGAGGACTACTTCCTGCTCGAGGCCTTTGGTCTTCTCTCGGCTGCTGCCACCGCCGGCGGCAACGATTCGTCTGACGAGTAAACGTTTGGCGCTGCTGTCTTTACTGCGGCCTGACCCCGTCAGCCGGGAGCCATCCGCGCGGGCGCAGCATCATCAGTCAAAGTGCGCCGAGCGCGCTCGTGACGGCCCGCCCGACGTCATCGAGTGTATAGCCTCGTTGATGGCGTCCAGAATGGTGGTGATCCACGACTTGGACGCCGCAGCGAGACCGGCTGCACCGGCTGCGACGCCAGACCCACGTCCAGCGCCATGGTCGATGCCGCCCATCGCCGCCGACGCGCCGGGCATCGGCAGCGCCGTGTCGTTGGCCGACGATGAGATGAAGAACAGGAACGGCACGAGCCAGATGCACAGTCCAAAGTACGAGATGACAAACGAGAACGGGTACCACGTCGATGAAAAGTAGCGGAACCACATCCAGTGGTCGAGCCCGAGTCCCACCACCGACGCCACCGTCTTGGCTGACACCAGCGGGATAAACGGAAACGTGGCCAGGTTTGATGCATACACCGCATGCGCTGCCAGACCCCACATCGTCGGCAGCAGCGGCAGTCCATCAACAAGCCACACACGCCCGCACTCCCACCACGCCCACAATGATCCACCTGATGATCATCTTGGTCAGCATCGTGTACTCTTCCACCAGCTCCGCCAGGTAGTACAGCCCGCATGCTGTCCCACCATGTCATCCACGTCCATCGTCCGCCATATCGAGGAACAGTGCGATCGAGCCAGTCCGTAGTCCCCCGATTCCCGGTGCCCCAGTCCCCGGTCCCCAGCAGTACGGCCAACATGCCCATTCCCCCCCATTCCCCCCATCCCCCCGCACCGCCACCGCCACCGCCATCATCGCCACCCAATCCCATCGCCATTCCCGCCCATCATCCACTCGTCAGTTCCCCATCCCTACCGCTTCCGCCGCCCCCTCCTCCCCCTCCACGCCCCTTGCCCGTCCCCTCTCCCCCCCCCCCCCCCCCCCCCCCACACACACAAACCCCCACGTACCCACACAGAGTGTCAGCAGTACAAAGAACACCCCCGTGCCCAGCAGCGAGACCAGATACAGCCCCCATGCGTCGGCCCCGTCGTACATGCTCTCTGACGTCAGTCGAGTCTTCCCTCTTCCCACCCGTCCTTTACTCGCTCACCCATGGCCAGCTATGCCTCGGACAAGACTGCAGTACGCGAGCGCTTCTCTGCTTTCCCCGCTTGCGGCATGAGCTGGCATGCTGCTCTCGTTCGGCTGACCCGCAAGGTCGGCCACAATCGCAATCGCTTCGTTTGGATCGGAGAAGAGCGCCACGGTTGGATGGTCTGCGGCGTACGCTGTGTTCGATGCCGAAGCCCGCAGCGCAAGCGGGATGCCTAGCGCGGCGGCCTCGAGCACCGCGTTGGCCAGGCCTTCCGAGTGCGAGGTGTTGAGCAGAACCCGCGCATTCGCAAGGAGCGCCATCGCCGCGCCGTGGGAAACGCAGTCGTGGAGCACAATGCCCGGCCCGGTCGCCAGCACCCCTGGCGACGACGCGGCTTGGCACCCCCCGCAGCCATCGCCGCGTCCAGCACACCGCGATCCAGCACCGGGCCGACCACAACCAGCTCCAGCCCGCCCGTCAGCCCGCTCTTCCACGCCTGCCGCCACGCGCTCAGCAGAAACCCGGGATCCTTGACGCTGCGGAAAGAGGCGAGGAGCAGCGCGTACGACTGCGGCGCCAGCGCCGCCAGCGCCGGAGCGCTAGCCTCTAGCGCCTCGACATCCACCTCCGGTACACCCACTTCGGGCGGAATGACCATTAGCCCGGGCATCGGCAGGCCGAGCGCCTCGCCGGCCGCCACCACCGACTCGCTAAAGGCAACGCATGCATGCGCGCCCTCCAGCGCCGCCCGCATCACCGGCCCACGGACCGGATGCTTGGCAAAGACCTCAGCCTCGTTCACGTCCGTTCCGCCAAAGATCACCGCGTATGGACAGCCGAGTGAGGAGAGGACCTCCGCCGATCGAAAGGCATGGATGCCCAGCGCCACGTCGGGCGCAGGCACGTCCGCCGGCCACTCCCCGCCGTCCTCGCTCGCCACGTCGACCAGCACCACCTCGCCCACACCTGCCAGCGCCGCCGCAACACGCAGCGCAGTCGTTCGGTTACCGGTCCCCTTTCGCATGCTCCCCACAAGGCCCACACGCATCACACCACAAACTCGCCGCCCGTCCAATCCCGAGTCGAGTGCTGCCCCGCCGTCTCGCTGCGCGCCCACCGCCCCCGCCCGCCCGCTCCTCCTCCTTCCTCCGCCCGCTGCTCGTTTACTGACCCAATCCGACCTCCCGCAGCCGTGCCACAGCAGAACCGAGCCCCGCCCGTGCCCTGTCGGCAATCGCAGGAAGCTCGCTCTCGCTCGCGGTTGTCATGTCCCATGGCGAGAGCTGATCAAAGACGGCGAAGAGCGCCTCGCGGACCGCAAAGTTCGGCATGTTGCCGTAGTGGACCACGCTCTCACCAAGTGCCTCAAAGTGCGGTGCAAGACGGTCGAGGAGCTCGCGCCGCGCCTGCTTGCTCACGTCTTCCAGATCGTCAAAGCCGTCCAGGAGATCGACCTCGATCGGCGCCGAGCAGCCCCACTCCCAATCGAGCACCGCCTGCAGCTCGCCGGTCTTGCAGTCAACCATCACGTTGCGGAAGGCGAGATCGCCATGTGAGAGCACCATCCGCGATCCTTTGTCGAGATCCACTCTCGCAAGCACTTCCCTGGCCACGCGATACGCTTCGTCCGCCGCCTCGTGCATCGCCGCCATCCCCTGGCTCTTCTTCGAGCGTTCGTACATGTACTCCAGTCGCGCCTCGTAGTACTGCTGTACCCGCGCCGGCGTGCCCATCCACTCGTTATCGAATGCTGGTGTAATGTTGGCCTCACCCACCACATCGCTTGTCATATCCACCGCGCCAGCTCGCGGAAAGACCACGGCCTGCAGCGCCGCGATCACTGCGACCATCTGCGCTAGCGCGCGTTCTTGCGCCGCATTGCTCATCGCGCCCCACACATCCACCATGCACTCGCCGTCCACCGCGTCCATCAGCAGTGACCGAACCTCGCACTGCGCAACCGCCTTGCCCTCCACATCATGTCCGCGCACTACCGGCAGCCGGACGCTAGGAAGCAGCATCGGGAGTGCCTGCAGCAACTTGAGCTCCTGCACGTGCTTCCGCTCCGGCCAAGACATCGCCGACACTCGCAATGCAAACCGTGTGTCGCTACCCTCGACCAGAAACACACAGTTGTTCCATCCTGTCGGCACGCGCCGCACCTTCATCACGTCCTTGTCCCACGGAGCGGCCTCGGGCGCCAGTGCGGCGCAGATCTCCTTGACATCGCCTCCCGTCACTACGAGTCCCACCAGGTGCGGCGAGCCCGATGGATGACTACCCTCCAGTGAGTTGCCTTGGTCACTTGCACTACAGCTCATTCCTATTCTTTGGCGTGCTTTGCTGTATCTCTACCTTGCCAGGAAGCCGTTCTGCTTCTGTGCTGCCTTTTTCTTGGCTCGCGTGCAAGAACACTCCAAATCGTTCCCCAGAACAATCACACGCATTTGCGACCATCACAGCGAATCGTACCCGGCGTTGTGACCAGCCTTGCCCCGCGAGCCCTTGACCAGCGTCACAATCGGATGGGCCACGTAGACACACATGTATCCGAGCACGGCACCAATGGCAGCCGTGAGCAATACCGTCATACCCACAATCGAACCCGTATCGCGGGTCTCCTGCAAATTCTGCACGCTCACCACCACAAACGCACTGACCACAAGCTGTGCCACGTCCATCGTGAGCGCCGCCCGGTTCTCGTACGGCCGCCACGCCATACACGATACTATCCCACCCAGGAGCAGCACAAGGAGCATTGGTGCCACAAACACCGAGCCGCGCGGGAGAACCGCCGCCACAAGCGCAAACGCAAGCCGCCGCACCATCACCGCTCCTTCGTACCACCACCGCTCCGGCTCCAGCCCATCAGTCAGGAACCGCACCGCACCGTACGGCACAACACCGCCGCGCTGCCACACACTCCAGCCCATCACGCCCATGATGGCCATAAGCACCACCAGGGCCACAGCTGCAACGCCGGCGAGTTGCACCTGCACATGCCCACCGCATTTGATCCACGGCGCGCCCGCTAGATAAGAGGCTTCAGGGTTGGGAATTGGCTCTGGTATGCACGCAAAGACCGCAAAGCACGCTTCCGCCACCGGATACGCAAAAAAGTACACCGTTGCTGCGCACAGCCGCCACATGCCCTCGCCGAGTCGTCGCGGTGCCGAGCTCACCCGCGTCACAAGCCCAGCCACGCACACCACCGCCCAGATGCACGGCACGAGCGCAAGGAGAATGTAGAACTGTCCGGCGTACGAAATACCATAGCATTCGAGCCCGGAGATCTGCACGTTGATTCGCTGCGCGCCCCGCAGCAGCCGCTGCCCCCACGACGTCCACTTGACCTCGTCAAAAGCCTCGTTAATCGTCGCCAGCGTCTGCAGAAAGATGACGCTCGTCTTCATCGCCGCCTCCACATGCTCAACCTCGAGCGAGACCTCGGACTCGGCGCTCGAGCTCGACTCGGCACTCCCACCCGACTGCACGGATGAGTACACCTGCCGCCCGTCCGCTGCCGCTGCGTTGTGTGCTGCCGCGCGCCGGACTCCGAGAAAGACCACCACAACGCTGAGGCCCACAAAGAGCACAGCAAGCTCGTATGCCTCGCCTAGCCCTATAAGGACCAGCGCAAGTACAGCCGCCGTCTCTGCCACCATCAGCAACGCTTCGCGCCAGAGCAGCATCGCCCACTGCGCGGCCCAGCGGATCAGTCCACGCAGCCCCGGTGCTCGCGCTAGCTGGCCATGGACACGCCCTTCGCCCTGGCCGATGCTCTGCTCCGAGAGCAGGACCCAGAACAAGACACAGAGGAACGTGGCAATGACAAAGCCACCACCAGCAAGTGCCCCGGGCCCCGACACTCGTCCGCACCCATGGCAATCCTCGCCTGCCCGGTAGAAACCGTCTCGGCACGCGCTGCAAAGCCGGTCAGCGTACTCTTGGCCACACAGATCGTGCCCAAGACACCTCGCCTCGGCCTCTTCCTCGTCTTCGCCGCACTCGATAAAATACCGCGGCGAGCTTGACGAGTAGAAGCCATGCGCTGCATACGGCCAAGAGCTGTTGCCGAGGCAAACACCGCCCTCGGGACACTCTTCACACCGCTCGCCACGCTCCCGCTCGCCGAGCACATAGAAATCCGGCTTGCATAGACACTCGCGCCAGCTCGGCGATCCTGCAGGCCCGGCGCTTCCGGGAGCACAATCGGTGCAAACAGCAGCGGTATCGCTCTCCGAGTACGTCGACGCGCGGCACTCGATACAATTCGTCCCACTCACACGTTGCCCAGGCTTGCAAATTGCTTGACTGCTGGCCTGGACCGGAAACGGTGCACCTTGAACGAGCACCCCGTTGAACTGCACCACAAGCTGATACTCGGTGTCTGCCTGTGGAAGCGCCACTTGCGCCCATCCGTGCATAGGCCCATCTGGCCCGTCTGGCACCGGCTGTGGCGTAAAGACCACATCATTCATCGAAATCTCCATCCTGTTCAACACTGCCGAGCACCTCGACGGCGCTGGATGAGGACACAGTGGGTTGCCGTAGGCATCCTTGAGCGTAATGTTGATGTTGAGCGTTGTGCCAAAGATCACAGTCGGCGGCGACCCGGCTGGTGCCAGTAGCTTGCCGTCGTGGCTCACTGCGCCGCCAAACGTGTCCAGGTTGGCCACCACCGTCATGTTCACCGCCACCAGCTTGTGGCCGTCGACGCCGAGCTCAAACCCGATGTCCACGCCGGCCTTTTGCCCCACATCAAAGCTTGCCTCAAAGACCCCAGTCCCATCCACACTCGAATAGTTGAAGCTGCTTGCTACGCGCGACCCATCTGCCTGCCAAGCCATCGGCGTGGTCGACCCAGGCCCGTGAAACCCGAACTTAGAGCTGTCGGCCACGGCAAAGCGCCCAACCTCGCCGGCCGCCACCTCGTGCGTGAGTGATCTGATCTGCAGTAGTGCCGCGTCAAAAGTGCAGAGATGTCCCGCCTCCCATGCCTGGCTGCTTGCGTTGCATGTCATCGATGACGGCGGCTTGGTGTATCCCGGCGCACAACTGATCGCCGAGGCGCGCCAAGCGAGTGAATCCACGTCATACGAAGGTGCGATCCAAGCGAGCGAGAACGGAAGGTCGTGCGATATGTGGCACGGGAGCACGCTTGCGAGCAGCATGCTCACTGAACCGGTTTGTGAGCACATGGCGAGCCCAGTCGAGCTTGGTGCGAGCACAGCCGCGCCTTCGCGAATCGACGAGCTGCACCCGGGCACCGCCGTGTTTGCCACTGTCGCAACACACCGGTCCCACGCACTGTCGCACACAAGCGGGTACGGCGCCGAGTAGCCGAGATCACCCACCATGACAAAGCTATGCCCGGTTGCCTCGTCGACAGTGATGGTAACCCATCTCACCTCCTTTGCCCGTTGCACTGTGTACGTGTCGCATGGCCAACCGGCGAGCCGTACACACAGCGCCAAACCACAAACTGGCTTGTCGCCGCGTCCGGCACCACTGCCATCGTCACTGTTCCACGGACACGATCCACCGCCATGGTGCGCATGGCCGAGAAGGTGTTCGAGCCACCGGGCGAGCCCGTCACCAGCCGCCCAGAGCAGGCTCCCGCCCCGCCACCTGTGCCGCAGCTGAAGAGCCACAGCTCAACCGCCACCGACTGGCTCACCCACTCGATCGCAACATGTACGTATCCGTCGGCAACCACCATCCCCACCGGCTCGACGTGCCCACCCGGTGGCGGGTTTTGAACCACGGTGGTGACGCATGCATCACTCGCACCCACATCGCACGACGCGAGCACCACTTTGCTGCCGTCGACAGCCACCACATGCACCACACTTTCGTCCTCAGCGCTTGCCACATGGACTTCCCAAAACGGTGAGACGCCGTTATCGAGCGAGACGTTGCGCGCGGTACATGCCGGCACCAGACCCACACTGATCTCGCTGCACATCCACAGCGTCACCGATCCGGTCTGCGAACCTCCGGCTGTGGCGATGATTGCCAGCGCGACCATCCGCCCACTCTTGGTCGACACCAGGGCAAGACCAGCCATCTGTACGCTCGTCTCGGTCGCATTACTCACGGCGCTGCCGGTGCATTGAGTCCCATCTCGCGCACACACCATCAGCCACGGCAGCGCGATCAAGTCTGGACCGGGCGCCGCCACCGTTCCACCGAGCACCGCCACCTGTTCGTCGACCGCCACCTGCCACGCAAGGGCACCCGGTACCTTGTACGTGTTCAGCGGCGACGCCGCCACACCTGCCGCCTTCACGGTCATCACTATGCTTGCTGTCATGACTAGCACCACCACTGCTGCACGGCGCACCGCCCTCGCCTCCGTCGGCTTGTCGCCGAGTGTGTCACTTGGTTGCAGCATGCGTGCAGCCAAGTGTGACGAAAACCAACCGCAGGTGTGACTCCCCGGTGCACGCCCTCATTTACACGGCATCCGCGGAGCGACTGGTTCGGTTGCGGGGAGAGCCTGCACTACAGCATCGACAATTCATCCATCGCAACCCCCTCATCGTCATCACCAGCAAGGGTAACCCGCCACGAGTCCTCGTCCTCACCACAGACGCCAGCTAGGGAATTCTGTAGATTACCGCTCAGGTCTGGGAGCTGCCGCGCAAGATACGCTAAGACCTGCGCCTCTCGCTCGGCTGCCGCAGAATATCCACCGTGCCCGCGGCGCGCAGATGCAATCTGCTTGATATCGCCTACGAGTCCGACGACTGCGACACAGACAAGCGCCACCAGCGCCACGACAAGAAGCACAAACAGAGCGCGCGACTCGCCCTGGTGCCGCTCGGCGTACGAGCCCGAGCCCAGAACGACCACGCCCACAAGCACGGCCGTCAGTCGAAAGTCGAGCGTGTTGTACAGTGGAAAGTAGTACGGCTCGTGCGCTCGAACAGCAATTGCCGCAGCCATCAGTACTGCCAGTAGCAGTGCGATCTGCGACAGCTGGAACTCGGAGAGAAACACACCGGCGGTCACAATCGCGAGCCGCTTGCCGAGCTCGGCCACGGCACCCCAGTAGAAAGGCAAACGATAGAGCCGGTACAGCGCACCATATCGCGTCAGCGTCTGCGGCGAGAGTAGCGCGTTGCGCGAGAGCCGCAGCGCCACGAAAAAGTACGCCGGTAGGCCGACCACGTACACCGCCACACATGCCATCCCGACAGGCGCCACGCCCCACCACCCGGCGTCAAAGCAGGCAACCCCAGGATCAGAGTCGATGATCCACACCCCATTCGGCAGCCGGACGCAGTCAAACAGCACAAACGAGGCTCGCGCCATGGGAATATACAGCAGCGGCGCCAGTGAAAACACCACGCCGTCCACCATGCCCACCACAGACACAGGCGCCAACAGAGTCCGCCACACTACCATTTTGCCGACCACCGCCGCTCCGACTGCCACAACCAGCGCTACGAGCGGCATCGCCACCGACGCGATGTACTTGACGTGGAAACTCGAGACCACGCATCCCGACGCAAACACGTTGACATCCACGTTGAAGACCGACATCCACGAGAGCATAGCCCGTGAGTCCGACGACCACGACAGCTGCGCCTCGCCGAGAAGCGCGAGCACCTGCAACGCAACAAGAATCATCGACAGAGACGGCGGAAAAAGCCGCCGCCGCAGCAACAGCATGGCATGGCCGCCGGCACCTCCGCCTTCGCCATCCTTGGCCATCGCAATCAGCCGCTTGATGTTGCTCGCCACCCCCAGACCTGCGGCGCTCGCCACGCCCACAGCAATAAACAGCACCACCGCGCTAATCCCTCTCGCTGCGCTGGGACATTTGCGGCAGGCAAGCGAGGAGTCGGAAAAGTATCCGTCGACGCACTTGTTGCACATGTAGCCGGAATATCCGGGCGCGCATCGCCCCTCACCAGGACACGCGCCCACACGCCGACATCGCACAAACTCCGTGCTGTTGGCAGCCGACGGAAAGAAGCCCGGCGCTGCCACTGGCAGCTCGCGACCCTTGGCACATGTCCCGCCGAACGGACAAGGCGCACAGTTGACGAGATACGCCGCACGTTGAGCATCGCCCTGGTCACGCTCCACGGCATAGAACCCACTCTCACACACGCAGTACGGCGTGAGTGCTCCGACAGCTCTATCATCCACAGAGTTGACCGCGCATTCGACCACATCGCTGCAAGGCTCAAATGAAGTCTCTTCCGAGAACTTGCCAGCCGGGCACTCTACACATACCGAAGTGCCGATCGCCGACGACCGTGCAGACCCCCAGCCTGGCGGACACCCGGCCATGGCCACGACGCCTCGGGGGGGACTACGTCGACGCCGCGCCCTACCGCCGTCTTGACTACGGCCAAGGCCCATCTGACCTGTGGCGGTGCGCTTTCAGCCGCTGTCGTCACCGTCAGCGACGCCGGCGGGAGCTCGACCGGATGCACCTGAAGCGTGGCCGACGCCGCGTCGCCCACAAACAGTCTGCCGCTGCTTCCCATCTCCGAGTACTGTTGTACAACCTCGGTGCCCGAGTATGTCACGTTTGCCCCGCTGCTGTCGACGGCAAAAACCACAAAACGGATCGCGCTGCCCGAGATAACACTGAGAGGGAGAGCATCGGCGAAACCGAGTTCCACAACCGGGCCGTTGACTCCTTCGCGCCCGTCAGCCACCTCTTCGCCAACATCGATCCAGCTTGTTCGCCCGCACCAGAACCCATGCCGCGAAGAGCCCAGCGCGCCACCGCGACCAGCCTGGTTGCCGCGAACATCACTTCCACCGCCGCTCATCCTTGCCACCCCACCACACGCCACGAGCCCGCCGCCATACAGCTGCGCCATATTGTCGACCAGCCTGGCGTCGATGAGGTCCAAGCTCGGACTCTCGCCTGCGCCTCGCTCAAGTGCCGGATAGTCGACCACGCTGAACACTGAAGAGCCGGTGTCGGCGGCAGTGCCAACAACTGCAAGCCCGCCTCCAACCCGAGCTCGATTGCCGACCACCCACGATGTGGAGAGAGTCACATTGCTACCCGGGCGCGCCGCAAGTCTGCCACCCGCACCTAGACTTGCCACATTTTCTCGCAGCAGCAGACCGCTACCACCGAAGCTTGCTCCGGTTGCAACCACAAAGCCACCACCGTTACCCTCGCCCGCTTCGCAGCCGGCCACGCGAGTGTCCACCACCGCCACAGCCGCACCCGATCCCACAGAGACCGCACCTCCAGAGCCGGCAGAGCACGAATCAAACAACGAGTCGAGGAGGCGTAGCGTTGCCCCAATCCCACTTGCCGAAATTGCACCGCCAACTTGGGCTGCCCGGCAGTCAACAAAGGCCGAGTCGCGAACAACAGCCTGGCCGCCACTGGCGACCGACAACGCTCCGCCGTCTCCGAGACCAAACGTTGCCACTCCCATCGGTGCGTCTAGCGAGCGGGCGCGGGTCACGTTCACATTGATCAGCTCGAGCAGCGCGAGGCTGCCGCCGACTCGGAGCCCAGGCGCGCCAAAGGCAGATGCTCGCGCCACACCGAGGCCGTCGATGTCCAGCGCCTCCAGCGTCACTTCACCGACTTCATCAGCTCGAGGAGCAACGTCAAAGAGAACCCCACCATCGCAACCAAGTTTCGCTCGTGGCCCGCTCGTCGGCCCTCGAACGCCCATCTTGAACGAGACCTGCGCGTGCGCGTCAAATCGGCATCCATAGCTGGTTGCGTTCAGCACTAGCTGCGATCGCGCACATCGCGGGAGTCGCCGCGCGTTGGCCCACAAGCAAGCAAACGATTCACCCACGCCGCCACACTCGCGGAGCGAGCTGTCGATCACAACCTCTACGGCAGAGTACGGCGCCGCGGCATTTCGCGACAGCTGTTGCTGCCATTCGATAAGATGCGTCTGCCTTGACGAGTAGACCACATCGATGTCGCCGTCGGCGTCAAAGTCGTCGAGGACTGCACTCCAAAAGTTGCTCAGGCCCATCCGGATGAGAATCTGCGACGAAAAGCTGCCACCGAGGCCAAACTCGTTGAGAAACGCTACCACTCGCGACGAGCCCGCGGCTACAATGTCTGGCCACCCGTCGGCATCGACATCACCGCACGCCAGTGCGCGTGCGCTATCGAGCTGCCCGTCCAATCGCACCGGCGGAGCATACAGGCCCCCACCCAGCCCGGCCAACCAGTATACGCCGTGCAAGTCTCTCACAGTCGTGATTACGTCGACAAAACCGTCGTGGTCAAAGTCGGCCGCACAAACCTGCGACAGCCCGAGCGTCGCGTTCGACATGGCCGTCACAAGCTGAACAGCTGCAAAGCTGCCATTGCCGCCGTTCACATAAACCATCACCGCGCCTTCCCTCCCGAGCACAGCGTCTGCAGCACCATCACCATCGACATCGGCAAGCGCGATCCATGCCTCTTCGCCGAAGGCAAGGGCGGGCATGCTCACCACAGTCTGCGGAGTGCCAAAGACGCCAGCCACACTGCGGACCCAAGACAGCTCTTGGTGCGTCACAAACATGACGTCGAGAAAGCCGTCGCCATCAAAGTCGTGCGAGACCGCATGCCGCATCGAACCCGACGCCAGCAGTACACCCGGGCCAAACGCGCCCCGCCCGTCGAGGTTGGCGTGCCATCGGAGGTATCCCGACTCTTGCGACCCGATGAGGGCATCAATGTCACCATCGGCATCGACGTCACCTAGGACCACCACAGACGGGTTGACGCTCGACTGCGACACAAACTGCTGCGAGCCGAATCCACCGCGACCGTCGTTGGGAAACCACGACACATAGTCACCCGAAACAAACACCACCGCCACATCCGAGTATCCGTCACTGTCGATGTCGTCGACCGCAAGCATGGCAGGCTCGATCAGTGTGGGTGAGTCGAACACTGCGGCTGCGTTCGCAAAGAGCGTCAGCGCTGCCTTGGACTCGAGCGCGGAGCTCGAGCCATCAAACCAAACCACCTGCTCGAGGTTGCCAGAAACAGCAACCGTGTCCAGGTAGCCATCACCGCTGACATCTGCCAGAGCGACGGCAGCAACCAGGTTCATCGACGATGTCACCGTGTTGACCGGACCAAACGCACCGGTTCCCAGCCCAGCGAGGCGGAACACGCCATTACGCCCGGCCGCCGCCACAACCAGGTCGACAAAGCCATCACCATCAGTGTCCGCGACAGCGAGACCACTCGCGGCGTTCATCTCTGTGGCGAGGATGCGGCCAGGAGCAAAGAACCCCCGGCACCGTCGGTGTTGGCGAACATGCGGACTGTTCCATCGCCCTTGCACGCCACGAACACGTCGACGTCGCCGTCGCCATCGCCGTCTTCTGCCGCCACAGCGCTGATCTCGTCCAGGCCCGAGCCAATGACTTGCCGCTCGCCAAAGCTGTTGCCGCCGAGGCCTGCATACCACACCACGAGCGACTGGTCGGCATTAGCTGTCACTGCTACCACGTCGTCGGTGCCACTACCATCGACGTCACCAACAGCCACCTCAACTGCATGCGGGAGGCTATCAATGTCAACAGCAGTGTCCAAGATACCGCCTCCAGAGGTGGTCTGCACCAGCAGGCTCACCCGCCCCGCAATGCCGCTGCTGGCGAGGACCAAGTTCGGCAGAGCGCTGCCTGTGGTGTTGATGGCGGCGACGCCAGCCGGGACGGGGTACGCAGTTGTGATGTCGACTGCGGCACTGAACGCACCCGAGCCAGCCAGGTTGCGCAGCCATGCGACCCGAGAGCCTGCGCCAGAAGTGACCACGATGTCGAGGTGCCCATCAGCGTCCAAGTCGATCGTGACAAGGGTGTCGGCAAACGCGAGCGAGGTGTCCACAACAGCAGCCAGGCCGAACCGTCCTTGGCCGTCGATGTTCAGAGCAACTTCGATCTCGTCAGTGTGCGTCGATGCCATGACGACGTCGAGATCGCCGTCAGCATCAAAGTCGCCGACTGCCACAGCGGCCAGACCCGCGCGGTCGGTGGTGATCGTGTCTTGTGCCCACCCTCCTCCGCCCGAAAACCAGAATACATTGGACGAGAACAAGTCGACCGTAACAATGTCGAGGGCTCCGTCGTTGTTGACGTCCAGTACTGCAGCGTCGACCGTGCGATCACCACTAGCTACGCTGATGAGCACCACAGAAGTATACCCGGCACCCTCGTAGACATAGATGGTGTCGGCGTTCGGGTCCCTGCTCCCAACCACAAGCTCTAATCCCGATGAGGCAGTCACGTCGGCCGCCAGAATGCACGATGGCTGGCTCAATGAGCCGAGAGGGATCGAATTGTAGACAAAGCCACCAGTTCCGTCGCCGACCAAGTACCCGACGGGCTGGACGCCATCGTTGCTCACAACAGCAATGTCGAGTGCCGCTGTTCCTGCGAGATCCGCCACCGTAAGAGCGAGTAATCCGGGCTGAACTCGGATGACTGAGCGGGTGAACGAGCCGCTCGCGGAGCTCGCGTGCAGAATCAGAGCGTTGCTCTCGGACGACACCACGAGAATGTCCGGCAAGCCATCGCTGGTCACGTCGACGACGGCCATGGCTTTCATGGAGCCGTCAGCTGTCGAAATGATGCGCTCAGCCGAGAAGCTGCCCGCCCCGTCGACGCCTGCCACCCAGAACAGGAGCGGTGACGAGAAGCCAGCCATCACGATGTCGGCCCTCCCATCGCTGTCCAGATCAACGACTGCGACGCTGCCAACGTTGTTGGCCAGTCGCGAGACAATGATGGGTGAGGAGAACAGGCCGGCTGGCTCGAGATTCCGGTACCAGACCACGGCGTCAGTGTCACCTCCAAGCCCTGCCACAACATCGTTGCGTCCGTTGCCATCCACGTCGCCAAGAGCAAGGCAGAGGACGCTCGGTGCCTCAGCGGTGAGGACCTGCGAGCGCTCCAGACCACCGGCAGGGAGGCCCTTGTACCACACAACGAGGCCAACCCAGTCCGAGGCGACTACCACGTCTGACACACCGTCGGCATCGACGTCACCCACCACTACCTTCTTTGGCTGGAGCTCGAGCGCCACCACGGCGTGTCGGGCGGGCTCGGCCTCGGCTACACACGGGCCAATGTCTGGCACCATCTCCACTCCCGCGGCATCCACTGAGCCCAGCCCCAGCCCCAGCCCCAGCCCCAGCCCCAGCCCCAACACCAGCACCGTTGCTATTGCCATTTCCAGACCAGGCATGTGGTGTTGCGTGTGGGCGAGAGGAATGCGAGCGGCGTGGGGTCATACGGGGTGCTGGCTGCCGGTTCCGGGGGGGGGGGGGGGACGTGCGTGAGCGTGCACGGATGCCTTTTTTTGGGGGGTCATCACTGCTTCTGTCGTCCCATGATGGCTGGAGATGATGGGGGGGCTGTCCAGGCACACGAGTAGCACAATCAGGATGTTAGTTAGCGAGTTGCGGTCAGCGGTCAGTTAGTGAGTGAGTGTAGTTGGACTGTGGCCAGGCCAAGGCCGTGCCGTGGCTACTTTACGTCGTGGTCAGACTTCATCGGAAGCAGCTAGGCAAACGGGAGGAAAAGGTGCCAAAGTCCGGATCGGCGGTAAAAGCGCAACGGGAGGGGGTCATGCAGACAAAGCGGGCGTCGAGTGAGGCGTCGCCGTTGATGCCCGAAGAAGACCATGTGGCCGAGTTGATGACGGCGCAGAGGACGATGGTGCCTGGCGGCAGCTGGCCGTTGTTCATGCTCTCGAGCAACGAGATGGTCTCGGCCATGACGGGCGAGAGGTTGGAGAGAATGCCCGCCATGGCCATCTGCGGGGCGCAGACCCGTGCGGGCAGTGCCGACTTGGGTGCGATAGATCCCAGGGCCAAGAACGCGCCGTTGAACTCAACTTGGACCTCGATGGCGGCAGTCGAAGCGTTGGCGTAGAGCCCGACGCACGCCGGCACGCCGTTGGGCGGAGAAAAAATCGGCATGGTCATGGCGCACCGCTGCCACTGGGTCGAGTTGCCGAGGCCGACATCGGCAGCGTTGGCACGGACAGCACGGACCGTGTCGGGGCGAGGTACAGGCCGACCGACAGTCGGATTCAGGCAGGCAAAGAGAGCACAGAGAGCGATGGTGACAAGGACAGAGCAGTGAAGCGACATCTTGGCTACAGAGTGAGGTCTGTGTATGTGCGTATGTGTGTGTGTGTGTGTGTGTGTGTGTGTGTGTGTGGTGCGGTTGTTCGGTCGAGGCGTGCCAGGTGTGACGTCCTGCCGCAGCGCTGCGTCGGCCGATGTTACACTTGGGCGAGCACTCGCGGACAGGGTGGGATGGACGAGAGCTGGTAGTTGTTATGGCGGTCAGTGGGTCAGTGGTTGATTGAGAGAGTTCGCCGCGTGCACTGTGGCAATGGCGCGACTGGGGTGGGAGCACGACGAGGGCGCCGACTGCGATGAGGCGGCGCATGGCGAGCACGAGTACAAGCAGGCTCAAAACGCTAGCGCTTCCAAGCTGAAGGAGAGAAGCCGGCGCGACAAAGGCTGGTACAGCCGCTGCAGTGGCTGCTGTCGACGGAGCGAGACGCCGAGCGCGGGCAAGGCGCAGCAACCGCGCCGGACCACCAGACACGATGCAGACAGGATGTTGCACACGCCGCGCAAGGCGCAATCGCGTTGTGCTGCCAAAGGGGGCACGACTGCTAAGCGCGCTCAAGAGCTTCCATCATCTCGACGGCGTTGCCCCTGATGACGACCATGCCCATGGGTGCGCCATCCATGACCGCCACGGTTTCATCGACGACGATGTTCATGTAGACATCAAAACCACGGAGGATGCCTTCGATCTTGCGGCCCTTGTTGAGGGTGACTGTGTCCAGGATGTGAGTGGTGTGGGAGTTGTGGGTGGGTGGGTGGGTGGGTCATCTTGGCTGCAGAGGGGACGAGAGGGGAAGGGGAGGGGGTAGGGGGTAGGGAAAGGGAGGCGTACGGCGGAGGCGCTTGTCCATGAACCTGTAGACAGGGAAGGGAGGGAGGGTAGTGTGAGTTGGGGGTGGGGGTGGGGGTGGGGGTGGGGGTGGAAGGGAAGGGGTCGCTGGAACAGGGGGAGGGGGGGGGGGAAGGACGGCAGCTGGTGGCCGAGGGAATGGGCGTGGTGCCCCACCTCCTTGCACAACCATGGTGCCTATACTCTCTCACTCTCCCCCAGTATCTCTCCGGTGGCTTTCCACACGGTATATGTTCACGTACTTGCGCAGGTCGGTGCCGAGGTTCTTGCCCATGGTGGAGTGGCAGAGTTGAGTGGCTGTGGTCGGCAGAGCGGTGCGCGCGACGGCCGCCGGTCGACGAGGAGCCGAGCCGGCTGGGAGGATGGCGAAAGATCACGTATGCCGCGAATGCGGCTCTAGCCGCCGGCCAGTGGTGGTCTTCTCGGAGATGCCGGCGAGGCGGGCCTGCTCGCGGACAATGACCCACGGCTCGGGCGCAAAGGTGTGCGCGGCGTAGCGGACGAGAAAGTCGGGCAGGAGACAGAGGGTGGTGACGATGGGCAAGGCCCACCAAAATGAGGGCGAGGCCAGGGTGGCTGACATGGTGCCGAGGACGCTCTCGTTGAAGGTACCATACGAAATCTCGAGGTAGAGAGCCGAGATGACGAGGTAGCTGGCAGCCGAGCCGAGGAGCGAGACAAAGGCAGCGAGGTCCAGTGCGAGGTGTGGAGGGCGGCCTTGAGGAGGACGACGACGATGAGGATGGTGGAGAGAAAGTAGCCCTGGACCCAGATGCCGCCGACCTGTCCGTTGGCATAGACGGCGCCGTCGCCGACGGTGGCGTGAAAGACGGTAAAGTAGGCGACGATGCCATGGTAGAGGCCTGCACCGAGCCAGGTGAAGACCGAGCGGAGGTTGAACAAGTCGCGTTGCGCCTTGTACAGCTGCGGGTGGGCGAGGAGGAGCGTCTTAGGCACGCGCCGCTCCCAGAGACCAAAGTAGAGCGGCGGGAGAGCGGCAAAGGCCATGTTGAAAAAGGTGAGGATGATCTCGTCGTACACAATCTGGGCCGACCAGAGCGAGTAGAAGCCAAAGAGCCACTGCGGAAAGATAAAGGCCACATTTTTGTAGAACGAGTACTGGATGAGGAGGGCAAGCCGGATGAGTGACCGCTTGCCGTGGACAACCAGCAGCGGCGCGAGGAAGCGGAACTGGTGGATGGCAAAGTCCGAGGCCCGGACCGCCTGGTTGCCCTCCTTGCCGACCACGCCCACGCCGACGTGCGCAGTCTGGATCATCGACACATCATTGGCGCCGTCGCCGATGGCAAGCGTGTTGCGCCCGAGGTTGTCCTTGACAAGCGCAACGACCTGCGCCTTTTGCAGTGGCGTGACGCGGCAGCAGATGACGGCGCCGCACCGCTGCGCCAGGTCAAGGAAGCGCGGGCCGGCAGACTCGAGGACAAGCGCAAGCGTGTGGCCATCAGTGATGAGCGCATGGTCGGAAGCGGCAGCGTCGTCGCCGATCCGCGCCTCATGGAAGGCGATGAGCTCCTCAAGCTCGGCCGGTGTGTCTGCCAGAAGCCGGATGAGGTCGACCTCGGGCGCGAGGAGCCGCGACGAGTATCCGATGTTTTCAGCCGTCTCGCGCTTGTCGCCAGTGAGGACCCAGACGTAGACGCCAGCACGGAGGAGAAACTCGAGCGTCTCGGGCACGGCCACTTGCAGCTTGTCCTCGACCGCGGTGGCGCCGAGGAGCTCGAGCTCGACCTCGATGGCCTCGCAGGCGGCGGCAACAGCCTCGGCACGACCGACCGCGAGCGTCTGCGCCTCGCGGTAGGCCGCAAGCCAGGCCTCCGTCTCAGCGCGGTCGAGCGTCCGCTGGGCCACCAGCAGCGTCCGCAGACCCTCGCGTGCTGCGGCCTCAAGATGGCTCTGCGTCGGCGCAAGCAGCGGCTCGTCGGGGCGAAGGCGGTCCATAATGAGATTGTCGGCGCCCTTGATGTACAGCATGTACTCGCCGGCGGCATCCTGCACAATGACCGACATCCGCTTGCGGTCTGAGGTAAACTCAAGGACAGCGGCGACCTGGTAGTTCTCCTCGACACCGCAGACCGAGATGGTGATACCGTTGCCGGCCGTTGAGAGGAGGACAACGCCGTTGGCGGCGGCGGCATCAACCAGCGCAGCCTCGTCCGGCGACTCGGCCTCGTAGTTGCGGGTTCCGTCGTCGAGAAGCTCCGGGACCACCGTGTGGCAGAGCGCAATCGCGCGCAGGTACTGCACCACGTCGCGCGGATGTGGCGACTCGCCGACCTCGCTCTGCTGCTCGCTCTCGACTGTCTCACCGCTCGAGCTCGTGGTCTCGCTTGAAGAGGAGCTCGGCGCCTCGAACCTGGAGAGCGAGATGTCTGCTGACGGCGGGCCGGCGGCCTTGTGCTGGCTGGCGGCAGCCTGTGGCACTTTGGCGACCTTGCCATGCTCGGCCTTGCCGGAACCATTCTTGCGCGCGGCGCTCGCGGCGGCATAGCCGGGCGGGGCAGCGCCAATCATAGCGCCGGCGAGGCAAGCCGGGTCGTCGCGCTGGTCGTACAGCGTGCCGGCGACCGACCACTGGGCGAGCTCCATGACGTTGCAGGTGAGGGTACCGGTCTTGTCGGCAAAGATGTGGTCGATTTCACCGAGTTCTTCGTTCATGTTCGAGTTGCGGCAGAGCATGCCGGTTTCGGCGACGTTGTCCGGGTCGGCGGCCATGTCGGCGTCCCAGTTCATGAACAGCTGCTGGCCGACGCGCACAATCTCGACCGAGACAAAGAGCGAGATGGGAATGAGGTAGGTGAAGAGGACAAAGTATGAGATGCAGTGGAGGGCACCGACTTCGGCAGCCGACTCGTGGGCAATGGAGCCAAAGTAGTCGGCTGTCGCAGTGTGCTCCGACTGCATGATGCCGGACATGAGGCCGGCGGAGAGGAGCATGACGACGTTGAGCAAGAAGATGCCGAGGACGACCTTGTTGAGTCGGTGCTGGACCCGTGATACCTTGGCCGGCACCATCTTGAGGTTCTTGAATAGCTTGGTATCGACGCCGGCGTAGACGACGACGCCAAACACGTACTCGGTGTTGCGGAGCTTGGAGCCACGGAGCAGGAGGTTAGCGTGGGTGAGCGGCTCGCGCAAGCCGTCGGCGTACGCCGCGGTGCCCTCAAACTTGTACAGCTTGACGGTTGGCGGCTCGCACACAATCTCGCCGGCGACGGCGGCAACGTGCTCGAGCGTCCGCAGCTCGGCGCACGCCGGCGGAGTGAACCGTCGCTTGAGGTTGGTCTCGCCGTCGAGATTGGCGGTCTCGACGTAGGCGAGGCCGTGGTCCTCTGACGAAGCTAGCGCCACTAGATCGGCGGGAAATAGCTGACCCTTGTGGATCTTGAGGACGTCGCCAACCACGAGATCGGCCGATTGCAGGGTGGTCAGCCTCGGGGTGGCGGCCGAGCCGCAGGCCTCGTGGCCGTTGCGATAAACTTCATACTCTGCAGCGTTTGCGGCGCGATCAGCCTTGTGACGCTGGTAGTCTTCATATGCGTCCTTGATGGCGGTGGTGGTGAGGACAAAGACCAGCGGCGAGATGGTGGTGACGGGCGAGAGCGGCGAGACCGGTGTGAGCGAGACGATGGCGGTGAGCAGAAAGTAGATGTTGGAGAAGCGCTGAAACTGGGTGAAGAGATTGAGCGGGAGAAAGGTAATGATGGTGTAAAGGGCAGTGCGGATAAAGTTGGACGGGTACTCTCGTCCGGCATTGGCCTCGGCATCGTTGAGGCTCACATGATAGTTGGGCGCCATCCCGCCGCCGCTGCCGTCACCAGCCTCTGTCTCCTGCCCGGACCCGCCAGCCATACCAACGTCTCCCACACGGACCGTCGTTGTTGCACGCTTGCCCTTCCTACACCTGGAGAAGGGAGGGGAGGGGAGGGGAAGTAGAAGTGGAGAGTGAGCTGATGGCGAGAGTAGGGAGGGGGGGGGGGGAGCGGAGAACGGGCGGTCGAGTGCCTGTTTCGCCGCATGGTCGGAAGGGAGAGATAG